ATAGTGCCAGGAAAACGAGTATGACCACTACAGACACGCAGATCACATCAGCTCAATGAAGTTGTCTGGGTGTCACGTCCCTCTAGTTTTAACCCTGCAGCTGAAAACATAGCAGTTTCAGAGAAACTGCTGTTTCACTGAGGGTTAATCCAGCCTCTAGTGACTGTCTCACTGACAACCGCTAGAGGAGCACACTGAACGTCCATAGGAAAGCATTGAGTACTGCTTTCCTATGGGCGGTTTGAATGCGTGCGCGGTCGCATTCGGAGCTGAGAGGCTGAGGGATCCTCAGCGCCAAGGGAGTCCGGCGCTGGAGAAAGGTAAGTGCTGAAGACACACACACACACACACTTACAGACGCATACACACTAGCTAACAGACACACACATTTACTGACAGAGACACAGTCAGCGACAGACATACATACGCACTCACTTACAAAACATACACTCTCATTGACAAACACACACTCACTAACAGACATCAAACAGACTCACTAACACACACACACTCAGTAAGACACACACAGTAACACACTCACTGACACTCACTAGCAGACACACACACTAACTCTAACACTCACACACACTAACACTCACTAGCAGACACACACTAACACTCACTCTAACACTCACTCTAACACTCACTCTAACACTCACACACACTCACTAGCAGACACACACACTAACACTCACTAGCAGACACACACACTAACACTCACACACACACACACTCTAACCCTCACACTAACACTCACTCTAACACTCACACACACACAAACATGTTTTTTTTTTTTAAATGTAATCCCCCCAGCCTCTTTACCTTTTGGAGTGCTGGGGGGATTCCCTGGGGTCCAGTGGTGCTGCTGCTGGGCTCCTGGGCAGGTGGCCGGTCGGGCGGGCAGGCGGGCGCGCGAGGGAGCACTCAGTGCTTCCTCTTCAGCTCCCTCGCGCGCCGCGTAGAGATGCCGGCGCCGGAAGATGACATCATCTTCCGGCTCCGGTATCAGTGCGGTGCGCGAGGGAGCTGAAGAGGAAGCACTGAGTGCTCCCTCGCGCGCCCGCCTGCCCGCCCGACCGGCCACCTGCCCGCCGGGGTCAACAGGGCCAGCCTCAGGGGAAGAGGCTGGCCCTGGGCGTACATACCGGGTCGCAGGGGCGGCCGGGCCCCCTGGTGGGCCGGGCCCGGTTGCAGCCGCGACCCCTGCGACCCTGGTATGTACGCCACTGGTTTCATCAATAATGGAGTTGGGTTGTTGTGGAGATCACCTCAACCTGCTTACAATGCAACCCATGGGCTGATGCCCCAGTATTGCTCAGGCCTTCTTTAGCCCAGATCAATACTAGACAGTACTATATCATTAACTTTTGCTGTCCTAGGCAAAAAAAAAATTTGCCGCCCCCCCATATGTCCTGCCCACCATGTGACATCACAATGCCCTGCCCATATGCTCTGCCATATGGGCCAACGCCAGTCTGCACAAAGTGTCTTTTATCTGAAAAGACAGTGTGTTTACATTAAAAAGCACACTGTCAGGCACAGGCTATAGACACCAGAATCACTACATTAAGCTGTAGTGCTTCTGGTGACTATAGTATCCATTTAATGTGAGGTAAATTAGAGATTAGTGCCACTAATAATATATTGGATTGCCTACTTACAACCAGATGAGGACAAGAGGCAGATGATGGGCTCAGTCTGGCTCCACAGGCCTGGTGCAGAAGAGGCTGTCTGGAGACTGTAACAGTGCTCACAACAATTAACGAACAGGAAGCAGCCGCATTTTTTTGGGCCCCTTACACAGCTCAAGGTCTGGGCCCCCAGGGCTTGACCATGAGTATGCCTACAATGCCCACCCATAAATCCAACTACATGGCCCACCCATGAGTTCTCTCACAGGAAGTGGAGTGTATGTGTGTAGGGGATGTTTTATGTGTTATTGTAGAGGATGCAATGTGTGTGTGTTCTTATAGAATGTAGTGTATAGGGATACCAATTTGTGTAGGAGATGTAGTGTGTGTATATAGGGGATGCAGTGTGTGTTTGCATGTAAGGAATGCATTGTATGTTTCTGTGTGTGTGTGTGTGTGTGTGTGTGTGTGTGTGTGTGTGTGTAAGGGATGCAAGGTGTGTTTCTATGTATGTAATTGAATGCAGTGTGTGTCTGTAAGGGGTGCATTAAGTGTGTAAGAGATGCATTTTGTTTCTGTGTGTAAGAGAATGAGTGTTTGTGTGAGCGTAAGGGATGCATTGGGTGTTTCGGGTGTGTCTGTGTGTGAGTAGGGATGCATTGTATGTTTCTGTGTGTGTGGAGGGGGGATGCATTGTGTATGTGTGTTGTGTAAAAGAGAGGGTTTGTGGGGTAGGATAGGGACTGAGAGGGGAGCAGCTCTTTATTTTTTTTCAAAGTGCTCTCCCCTCCTGTGTCCCTCAGTGTTCTCCCCTTCTGTCCCTTCGTGGTCTCCCTTGGCCCCCTGACCCTCTGCAGTCCCCCCTTGGTGCTCTTCTCACTCCCCCCTGTCCCCCTTAGTGGTCCTCCCTCTCCCAGACCCTTTATTGGTCCTTATCCTCTTCCCCCCCTTAGTGGTCCTTACCCTCACTCAAATCCGTCTGCCCTCCATACAGCAGTGCTGCGCCGCCCGAGGCTTCCTAAAGTGTGTCTTGCCTACAGTCAAGCTTGGTGGTGGGAGTGTCATGGTCTGGGCCTGCATGAGTGCCTCCGGCACAGGGGAGCTACAGTTCATTGAGGGAACCATGAATGCCAACATGTACTGTGACATACTGAAGCAGAGCATGATCCCCTCCCTTCAGAGACTGGGCCACAGGGCAGTAGTCCAACATGCTATAGAACGTAAGCTCGATTGAGCAGGGTCCTCTTCAACCTATTGTTCCCGTAATTTTTTTTGTAATTGTCCTATTTATAGTTAAATCCCCTCTCTTAATATTGTAATGCGCTATGGAATCTGTTGGCGCTATATAAATGGCAATAATAATAAGAATAATAGTAATAATAATAATAATAATAATAATAATAATAATAATAATAATAATAAAGACTCCAAATACACCTCCAAGATGACCACTGCCTTGCTAAAGGTAAAGGTGATGGACTGGCCAAGCATGTCTCCAGACCTAAACCCTATTGAGCATCCTCAAACGGATGGTGGGGGAGTGCAAGGTCTCTAACATCCACCAGCTCCGTGATGTCGTCATGGAGGAGTGGAAGAGGACTCCAGTGGCAACCTGTGAAGCTCTGGTGAACTCCATGGCCATGAGGGTTAAGGCAGTGCTGGAAAATAATGGTCGCCACACACAATATTGACACTTTGGGCATTTCCACTTAGGGGTGTGCTCACTTTTGTTGCCAACGGTTTAGACATTAATGGCTGTGTGTTGAGTTATTTTGAGGGGACAGCAAATTTACACTGTTATACAGGTTGTACACTTACTACTTTACATTGTAGCAGAGTGTCATTTCTTCAGTGTTGTCACATGAAAAAATATAATAAAATATTTACAAAAATGTGAGGGGTGCGCTCACTTTAGTGAGAATAAATATATATATTTAAAAGGGGAACTATAGACACCCATGCCACTTCAGCTCATTGAAGTGGACTGGGTGCAGTGCCCCTGTCAGTTTAACCCTGCAATTGTAATCATTGCAGTTCTTGAGAAACTGCAATAATTACTATCAAGGGTTAACTCCACCTGTAGGATGTATCATTATACAATCTGCGCTGGATAAATGGTAAGTAACAAAAGGGTTCTGCACTGCGCTTGTATTCCTAGCCTATAGTTTCCACTTTAAATGCTGCTGTATTTCTGATCAGAGGCAAACTGTGTTTCATTGTCCTTGTATGTACACTGTATAGTGATAATAAAGTTGACTCTGAAGTAAATCCTATACATATAAGGTCTTCCCAAAGCCATGGCAAAATTAACTAGTTCGAAGGATTTACTTTGTTTTTTTTTTTTGGTGCACCAGTTATGTTACTACCCTTACAGTCAAAGCTTATCAGTGTCTTTTCTTCCATAATATGTGATGAGTTACGAGTTACGCATAAATGTCAAGTCGGTTTTCTAAAAAACAAGATATAGGTTTCTTTAGATAAATTGTACACATTGTAAGCATGGCAAAATGCTGATAATATGTCAGGTCTCCTGTAAACTCATAATTCACCTGCCCTGGCATGCAAAGGGTTAAAGACCAGATTGTTATGATAGCAACATACATCAATTGGCACTAGAAACCCCTGAGGTGGCACTAGGCATTTACAGAGTCATGGGGCATGAATTACCGTACATGATAAGGTGCCTGATGAAGCCTGACACGGACGTCAGCATCATCGAGTAAGCACTGTTTAGCACAAATCAGTGAAACAGAAACAGACATGAAGCAGTAACTTAATTTGGGAAGTGGACATGTTAAATTAACCCCTAAAGGACCAAACTTCTGGAATAAAAGGATGTCATGTGTCCTTAACGGGTTAAAGAAGGGGAGAAAAAAATAAAAAAAAATAAATAGGAATATGATAAATATTGATAAGAAAGCATACCTCCCAAGTGTCCCTATTTTAGAGGGACAGTCAGTCTATTTTCTACCCAAACCCCTCTGTCCCTCTTTTCTATCCTTACGTCCCTCTTTTCTCGTAGCTCCATATCATTGTTGTGTCTGAGTGTATTACAGAACTCCACAGCAATAATACTCTCAGTAATGTGTCTTTAAAGGGATGCTCCAGTGCCAAGAAAACAATCTGTTTTCCTGGCACTGCAGGTCCCCTCTCCCTCCCACTACCCATCCCTGGTTGCTGAAGGGGTGAAAACCCCTTCAGTGACTTAACTGAGACCTCCGCTGATGTTCCTCAGTGGTGGTTTCGGGTAGCCCCCGCTCCTCCTCATTACATCAGCCGGCGGGGGAGACTGATCCTGCCCGCCAGCCAGGGAGACCAAACGCATTAGAGCTCTCCATAGGCAAGCATTGAAAATGCTTTTCAAAGCTTTCCTACGGGGAACTGAGCGACTCTGGAGGTCCTCACACAGCGACGCTCTAGCACAGAAGTGCCCTCTAGTGGCTGTCTAGTAGACAGACACTAGGGGAGGAGTGAACCCTGCAAGGTAATTATTGCAGTTTATAAAAAGGGTAGTGGAAGTTGGCACCCAGACCACTCCAATGGGCAGAAGTGGCCTGGGTGCCTGGAGTGTCCCTTTAAATTACAATAAATGTGTTTAGAAATCAGTCTGTGTAATTAAGATAGAGTGTTCATCTAAATGAGAAAGTGAGAAAGTATGGAAACTGATTATGAATACTGGGATTAGGAGAAGCAGTACTAATGATGAAAATAGTACACTCAAAAGACTCCGTGGTAAAATAGGCAACTAACATGTTGAGGGAAATATACCTTGATATAAAGGGGGTAGATGAAGTAGGGCCCAATTGGAATAGAAAATTAGTTTACAGTTCTACAAATTCAGTTGAATATTTCATCTATATGGTAAACAATCTGTTTATGGTCTATGGAAGGGATAGGCAACCTTCGGCACTCCAGATGTTTTGGACTACATCCCCCATAATGCTCTGACACCCACAGTGCTGGCAAAGCATTGTGGGAGGTGTAGTCCGATAGTTTATGTTCACTTTAAAAGGGACACTCTTGGCACCAGCACCACTACTTTGTAAAGTAGGCTTCCCCAAAACTCCAGCCCTTCCCTCAGATGTTGCTGAACTACAAATCCCATGATTCTATGAATGAAATAGATAGGCTGAGAATCATGGTTGTAAGCAACATCTGGAGGGCCGGAGTTTGGGGAAGCCTGGTGTAAAGAAACACTGTAGGCACCTGGACCACTCAATTTGACTGCCTAACTCTGCCACACATGCGACCTAGCCACCAATGCTTTCCTAACTGGAAGCATGGAATTAAATGAGATCATCTGTCTTCATGATTTCATCCATGGACATGGGACAGGAGGGGGCGAGCGGGCACCTAAAAGGCTGATAGGGCATCAGTACTGACCTCAGCCAGGGGAGGAGTGTCAATAGTGGCATGCCAGGGTAATTCAGGTAAGTAGATCTGGTTATTTTATACCTTCTGGGCAGGGCCCTGAATCTAACAAGCTAGTATAACACACTAGCATTAGGAGTACAAATTGGTATTCGTAACACGAATGTGCTCCTAGAAGGGGTCATCTTAATCCTCATCTGGCTTGAAGCTGAAAAAGACTTCTCTTAGTATCCATTGTCTGGAGAGAGGTTCACGAACCCACCAACAAGATGATTTTGTAAATATTTGAATTCCCAAAGTCCCCAGTATATAAAATGTTCCACCTATAGTGAATCAAGAGGATTATGCAAAGAATCTTTTAAACATGTATGACCAGGAGGGCTGGTAAACTCGTGGTACTAACCCTACCTTCCCAAGCTGGTTTGACAGGTTCGAATTTGTCCTGTCAAACACTACACCGAAACTCACTCTGAGGACAAAGAAGGTAAACAGCTCTGAAAATTCTGATAGGGCACACTGCCAGTAGCAGAGGGGATTACAGCAGGTTGGCAGTGCAGCTACCAATCCCAATAACTCTAAAAAAATATATATATAAAATATAAGCAATAAAGGGCAACTGTTACCGCAAAACTTTTTTTTTTTTAATATAATAATCCTTTAATCAAGATTGGAAGAGAAATAGATTATTAATATTATTATTAGAAAATTTGAGAAGAATTCACCCCCCTCTTTAGCACAGTGGTGCCCAAAAGGTAGATTCTCAGATGTTTTAAAACAACAACTTCCATGATGCGTTGTCCTTCTGCTGCATTCTAAAGACTTGCAAAGCATCACGGGGGGTGTAGTTCTACAACAACATCTGGGGATATACCTTTTGGGCACCCCTGCTTTAGTATATGACCGGATTCTTCAGCCATATACATAAACCTTGGGTTGGCCAGAGTTTGAAAACAGTTTCTATGGTCTTTCCTGCTTCTGTGCAGGGGGTGAAGCAGGGAAGACCATAGAGCAGCGGTAGGCAACCTGCGGCACTCCAGATGCTGTGGACTACATCTCCCACAATGCTCTTACAGTCATAATGCTGGCAAAGCATCATGGGAGGTGTAGTCCAAAACACCTGCAGTGCTGAAGGTTGCCTATCCCTGCCATAGAGACTACTTGTCAGTTTTCAAAAACACTGTCCGACCCAAGGTGCATGTATATGGCTTAAAAAAAAAAAAAAAAAAAAGTCATGTACTAAAAGGTACGGTGAGTTTTTCCTCACATGTTTTTTTTTTAAACATATAATTATTTCCCCCCCCCCCCAAAAAAATAATGAAAGGGTTATTATATTAAAATAAATAGTTGTGTGTCGGTTGTCCTTTAAGTGAAGACTGATGTCGATTGCTGGCACTGACGGTATAAATAGAGGGCTTGGCAGGGTATATATGCATTTGTGTTTGTTTAACTTTGGTGATGTTTGCCTTAGCGGGGTGTGGGTAAACAAAAGACTGCCAACAGTTAAATATGTAAAGCTGAATGAGTGCGTGTTTGTGGGAGAAAGTGGCTTTGCTGCTCTCCACAGCAGCAGTCATACAATGTGATGGGAATATTAATAGTGCCACTGTTTTCAGCAGGGAATCCCATGGAATTACAATGGAATACTCAGAGCAGGAAATGACAATCACATGTAGGTTTAATGAACAAAAAGGCAACATAGGCAAGTGGTCAAAAGCCCTTGCCACAGTGGGCTTAAAATACAACAATCTTAATATCACAACGCAGAGTGAGCGATCTCAAACCACAGGACCATAGCTAGCACACCTGACAGACTGTAATTAATCAATCTACAACATGTTAAGTGAATATCGTAAATAGAGATTTATTGTGTCAGGAGACCTGCGAGTCTCAATCACTTTTGCATCCTCAGAGATCTGCGCATCTCAAGACCTCAAACGAGATTCTAACTGATTGAAACCTGCGTGTTTCGCACTGCTCATAACCTCACTGCAAATTATTCACCTCGCAAACACTTTAATAAAACGATATTTAAAAAAAAAAAAAATACAACAATCTGGCTGCAGCCCATTTGGGCCAGCAGACAGCTAGTCTAGCCCTAACATATATGGGAAAAAGAATCATTTAAAATATATATATATATATATATATATATATATATATCAGTTTGTTATTTTAATCCCTTAAGGACCAAATTTATGGAATAAAAGGGGATCATGACACGTCATGTGTCCTTAAGGTGTTAAGCTGATAACATCCAGTAAATCATTGCTGATGGCCCTTTGTGACTGTGTTCCCAGAAGCCCCACCTATGGCTACCAACTGAATATATAGAAGAAGGTTTTAAAAAAAAAAAAAAAAAAAGGGAGAGATTTATCAAGGCAAGACTTTTATTTATGGTTTTTAAGTGCTAAACGTTGAGACATTCTAATGGTTTCCACCATATTTAACTCTTTGCTTCAAAATAGTAATTGTTTGTGCCTAGGTAAATCTCTCTCTAAAATGAAAAAACTATTAAAATATACACACAAAAAATAAACAAAAAGCAACACAAAAACAACGACTATTACGATCTGTATTGTGCTTCCTTAAACTAAGTGATACGGTAGAGTATCTGTCTACATGTACATTTTATTAACACAAACATTACATGTTAATCAAATCTCAATATATTTTACTGTCATCAATAAATAAAACAAAAACAAAGATATGAATAGCAGACACACAATAAGTAATTGGGAACACTAATTGTAAAGGCATAACATGCATGGCTATATTAAAATCCACGATTCCCTGCTTAGTACATATCGATACTGCTGCTAGGTGTGTTAGATCAATAGGGAGAGGAGATAAAATGGAACACGCCTGAGTCCTGCTCATGGAAAGTAGCCGGAGAAAGCTCGGAAGGGAAAGTCTGGAGTAAATGAATTGCAGGTGTGCAGTATTGCTGGGAAGGGTGGGGGGTCTGTCTGCTGGAGGTACATTCAGAGACTAAATGGGTCTCAGGGATTTGGGCTACTTACCTGCTGAGGGTCTCCCTGTTCTGTCAGGTGCACCTTCCCCAGGTGTTACTTGGAGTGTTGTATTTCCTGGTATCGAGTAGTGAAACGCACAGCCTGCTTAACCATTAAACTGCCAAAGAGGAGGGGGGAACAAAAAATGTAACTGCTTCGTTGCCGAGATGATCTGAAGGCGACCTGCCTGACCCAGGGTCTCTGTAATACAAGGTTTGCAATGCCTGCCTGGGCTGTGAAGGACTATCCCAGGGCAAGTTGGGCAAGCAAGAGTTAAAAGTTTGTATAAAGAGTAATTCTGGTGGAACGTTCTAAGAATGGAGCAATCAGCAGGAACGTTCTATTGGTTTCCATGGTTACTGATTGCCCCAGAAATAATCTTCATAGTGTACATAACCTCTAATGTTCCAAATAATAGCCCAACTCTAATCTATGTTTATCCAGGTTTAACCTCTTCTCAACCAGACTAGCAAATTGCAGATTATAGCCACCCAGTACAATAGCCTGGGTAAATAATTGAAGTTTTTAAAAAAATATATTTTTAGAAAACACAAGGAAAACTTTTTAAGGGCAATGCAACATCTTTAGCATTGAATTGGTTAATGGGGCTGTAGAGCTGGACAGCCAATGGAACATTATCACTACCACATGTATGGGATTACCCTAGTTACAGGCATAGGCAACCTTCGGAACTCCAGATGTTTTGGACTACACCTCCCATGATGCTTTGCCAGCATTAGGGGTGTAAGAGCATTATGGGGGATGTAGTCCACAACATCTGGAGTGCTGAAGGATGCCTATCCCTGCCTAGGATCTCAAAATCTAGAAACCTCCTGATGTTGATGGCCTACAATTCCCCTAATTGTTTAAAAGCAATAGATGGACAGGGAATAATGGGAGTCGTAGTTCAGCAACATCAGGTGGTCCAGAGTTTGAGATGCCTGCCTTAGGAGTTCATTCAACCAAAAGTGAACTGAATTTAAAGTTTGAATTTTAAGACAAATATAGTGATGCTGGGAAAATTATCCCAGTCAATTCACCAGAGATGACAGTTTAGTGAAGAAATTCTCATATACAGAAACAAAACAGTTTTGCTATAGAAGTGTATGTACCAATAACCAAAATACTCAATTTTCTCCAAATAAACGAATCAGGAAACTTAAAGTGACACCGTCTCCCCTCCCACAACCCAAGATAAAATCTTTATAAAATACTCATATTGACTGTGTTGTAATTCCAACCTGTCAAAAGTTATAGAGGATGTCACAGGATCCTCCATAAACCTCAGTATTGTACTCTCGCGTGCATGAATGAGAGTAGAAAACGTATGTGGTCTCTTGGCAGCTCCAGTGCCGAGAGCTGAAGAGGACCAACAGGAATAAGATGGCGGTGGCCACGAGGGACAGGTTTAGGTAAGTATAACTCACCTTCCCCAACGGAGCAGTCACAATCGGGTCTTTCCAAATCATGCAAAGACCCCCAATAGTGACAGAGCAGTTTTAAACCAGATTTGTCACCTCACTAAAAAATGTGAGTATTTCATAAAGATTTAATCTTTGTGAAAAACTCACATTGACTGTGTAGGAATTTCATTGAATTTCTAACGCAGTCAATATATACCATAACACATATGGTAAAGCCCACAGTTGACAAAGCTTGACAAAAGGCAGAGTTTTTAATGTCAAGTTTAGTCGATTTCCTCAGCCATTGCTAGCGAGGACTATGGGAATCAGACTTCCAATGACCATCAGGGCTATTTACTAACGTGTGAATTGACAGGAATTCCAAGTGAATTACAAATTTAAGGTCAGAATAGTTCAAGTGAAAAATATATATCCAACAATGCTTTTAGTTCAATTACTTTGGCCTGAAATTTTTATTTTACTTTGATTTCCTGAAAATTCACACTTTAGTGAATAAATGTGTATGAATTATTATTATTATTGCCATTTATATAGCGCCAATGAATGAGTTGGATAATTTTTCTAGGTCAGTTAGCCTAAATCTTGTAATTCGGTTTCAAATTCAGTGCGATTTGCTGCTTACAGGGTTATTTACTAAGGTGAGAATTCCGAGTGATTTCAAAGTGAATTTCCCATTTTATTCCAAGGTAATCAAACAGAAAGCTTAGCTGGATTAGAGATTTGTTTTTTTCCAATGTTTTTTGAAATTTACTTTGAATTCTCACTTTGGTGAATAACCCTGATAGTGAATAAACCCCCCAAATTACAGCTATTGCACCGCCCCCCCACCCCTGCTGTTTTCATATAGAAAATAAATTCCACAGTGAGTAAGAAAAGCCAAAATATATTTTAAGTCCAGGTTTTGTTATAAACCGCTATCTGATGTACACTATATCTACTTTATCAACAAATACCTCTTAAAGTTGAATTAATTTACAGCATCTTTCTAATTTGCACCCTCACCATGGGACATTTTTATGAATATGCAATAAATAACATCTGGAAGTATACATATCAGGGGTAGACAACTGTTTGCTCGCCAGGTTTTGTGGACTACATCTCCCATGATGATTTGCTAGCATCGTGGCTGTAAGAGCATTATGGGAGATGTAGTCCATAGCACTTGGATTGCCAAATGTTGCCTACCTCTGGTATATATATATATTGTTTCACACCAGCTCATTGATACCCATTCTTCAGTACAAGTTACCAATACCTGTATTATTACTAATCTGCTTTTGCCCTTCACCAATATGGCCGCCCAGACCTCCAGTACCCACCTGCGCTGGATAGAAACCGGTGACGTCAGGTCATGGTAATGTTCCGCAGTGCGTGATGACGTAGTAGTCGGTGTTTCCTGCGCAGCTGTCAGTGAGCGCAGAGGAAAGAAAGGGATGGAGGATCCCGAGGAGGATGAGGGATTCGGGGGGACAGGGGGGACCGAGGAGACGGCGGTCGGGGAGCCCGGAGAAGAGACCGGGGAAGGTGAGGATGATCTCCAGGACCAGAGATCTGGGATCAGGCCGTCAGAGGATAATACAGAGCACGGAGGGGGGAATCCATTCTATCTGTGCAGGGAAGGAGAGCAGACACTGCTTGGAGGTGAAGGGGAGTGACCTGGGAGATGGAGACATGGGGAAACCAGGAGACATGGGGAAACCAGGAGATGGAGACATGGGGAAACCAGGGGACATGGGGAACCAGGAGATGGAGACATGGGGAAACCAGGGGACATGGGGAACCAGGAGATGGAGACATGGGGAAACCAGGAGATGGAGACATGGGGAAACCAGGGGACATGGGGAACCAGGAGATGGAGACATGGGGAAACCAGGAGATGGAGACATGGGGAACCAGGAGACATGGGGAAACCAGGAGATGGAGACATGGGGAAACCAGGAGACATGGGGAAACCAGGAGATGGAGACATGGGGAAACCAGGGGACATGGGGAAACCAGGAGATGGAGACATGGGGAAACCAGGGGACATGGGGAAACCAGGAGATGGAGACATGGGGAAACCAGGGGACATGGGGAAACCAGGAGACATGGGGGGAGATGGAGACATGGGGAAACCAGGGGACATGGGGAACCAGGAGATGGAGACATGGGGGAGATGGACCAGGAGACATGGGGAACCAGGAGACATGGGGAACCAGGAGACATGGGGAAACCAGGAGACATGGGAAACCAGGAGACATGGGGAAACCAGGAGATGGAGACATGGGGAAACCAGGGGACATGGGGAAACCAGGAGATGGAGACATGGGGAAACCAGGGGACATGGGGAACCAGGAGATGGAGACATGGGGAAACCAGGAGATGGAGACATGGGGAAACCAGGGGACATGGGGAACCAGGAGATGGAGACATGGGGAAACCAGGGGACATGGGGAACCAGGAGATGGAGACATGGGGAACCAGGAGACATGGGGAACCAGGAGACATGGGGAACCAGGAGACATGGGGAACCAGGAGACACGGGGAACCGGGAGATGGAGACATGGGGAAACCAGGAGACATGGGGAAACCAGGAGACATGGGGAAACCGGAGATGGAGACATGGGGAACCAGGAGACACCGGGAGATGGAGACATGGGGAAACCAGGAGACATGGGGAAACCAGGAGACATGGGGGAACCAGGAGACATGGGGGAAAAAGGAGATGGAGACACAGGGAACCAGGAGATGGAGTCATGAGAACCAGGAGACATGGGAAACTAGGAGATGGAGGAATAGGCACCAGGAGATGGAGGCATGGGTATTAGAAAATAACATTGATACCAGGAGATGGAGACATGGGTACCAGGAGGATGTAAGCTGAGGTATGGCAGAATACATTTAGTTTATTGAAATACCACCTTGCTAGTTGTCATGGTAGGCAAAAGGTGGTTTTACGTGAATCAGGTAGAGCAATGGTGGCCATAAAGATTAGCAGCTTGGCAACTAGAAAAGCATCCTGCTGGCCATAAAGAGAAATTGCCAGCTTGGCAACTGGAAAAGCATCATAGGAATTGTAATGCTTCAGGAGCTGGGCATCATTCTTTTGGACACCCTTGAGCTAGAGTAAATGTGTTAAATCCACTTAATATTTAAGGCCAAACTATGGGATTAGTGGACACCTTAAGGTAAGCCAAGGCTATTTTAGGTGAAATAAAAAATAATTTGTTATAGTGATTAAAGAGAAGGGAGTTCAGTAGGTGGTAAAACCTAATTGAAAAAGACTGCTGATTATTCACTAAAGCAAGAATTAAAAGATAATTTCAGGCCAGAGTAGCCAAACTGGAAGCATACTTAATATAGAGAATATTTCCAGTTCAACTAATGTAGCCTTAAAGGACCACTATAGGCACCCAGACCACTTCAGCTTAATGAAGTGGTCTGGGTGCCAGGTCCAGCTAGGGTTAACCCTTTTTTCTATAAACATATCAGTTTCAGAGAAACTGCTATGTTTACCTATGGATTAATCCAGCCTCTAGTGGCTGTCTTATTGACAGCCGCTAGAGGCGCTTACGCGCTTCTCACTGTGAAAATCACAGTGAGAAGACGCTAGCGTCCATAGGAAAGCATTAAGAATGCTTTCCTATGGACTGGCTGAATGCGCGCGCGGCTCTTGCCACGCATGCGCATTCAGCCGGTGACGGGAGAGGAGAGCTCCCCGCCCGGCGCTGGAGAAAGAGGTAAGTTTAACCCCTTCCTCCCCCAGAGCCCGGCAGGAGGGGGACCCTGAGGCTGGGGGCACCCTCAGGGCACTATAGTGCCAGGAAAACGAGTATGTTTTCCTGGCACTATAGTGGTCCTTTAAATTTGAAAGACTCTTGAGTAAATATCCCTGCAAATGTTAGTTGGGATAATGAAAATCTAAATCTATTTCTATATGCAGGTACGTGCTTGGTTACAAGGTTTGTATGATGCCTCCGATGCTCATATATGATCTTTACCGACCGGAATCTCCTGATTTTATATGTCGTTTTATGAAACCCGACTTAACAAAGTTAGGCCTGATTAAACAAAAAAATAGGGAGCATGTAGAAATTATAAGGAAAGGTGCTAAATGGAATGGGAAATAATTGACTGAAGACAGATGTTTGGGGTTCTGAAACAGTGACACCTGTTCGCAGGTAGCAAGTGATGAACGGCTTACACTAAGAGGAAAAAATGGTGAAAAATAAAGAATATTACGTCGAAATGAAGCATCAGGACATGGGAAGAGCTACACGTACTTTTAATTAGAAATTGTAGAGATGATGACTTTGTTAGATCGCAAACAGGCACACTTGGAAAATGCCAATCACTCGAAACTGGAAAGGTTAATGTCACTATTGAATCATGCAAGTGTAAATTAAGCTTAATGTGGTGAGGTAGTAAGAGATTCATGATTTAACCACTTAAGGACCAAACTTCTGGAATAAAAGGGAATCATGACATGTCACACATGTCGTGTCCTTAACCCCTTAAGGACACATGACACGTGTGACATGTCATGATTCCCTTTTATTCCAGAAGTTTGGTGGTTAAGGGGTTAAAATTGGCATAAATTAATTGGGGGGAAAAAAAAGGCGTTTATACAGTATCTTTGATTAGGAGGTGCTTCAAACAAGATGTATGTAAATATTTGTAGGGATACCTTGCTAAATTCTGAAAATTGAGACAGAACCTATATTATAGAAAAAAATATATATTTTTTAATTGGGGTATAGTGAACAAGGTTTCACAAAATTCACACAATTTCATTCCAAATGACACATGGTGGATGGAGGTGCGATTGTGGTTGACAGTAACCAGACAAGAAAGTAAAACATTTCTTTTTATTAATTTGAAACAATAGTGGGAGTTCCCAAAGTCCGCACAATGTAGTAAATCTGTATTTTAATATCTGGTTTGTCTTTTACTTTTTATGTAGGAGCAATTTTAATTTGGATGTTGAGATTTTAAGATACAGAATTTATTTTTGTTATTGTTAAATAAGCATTGAGACCTTGTTTTTAAGATATCTTACAGTCAAGATGAACTCAAAATAATTCTACAAACTCCAGATCGTGCACTAAGACAGGAATATTATCTTACGCATATCCTATAGCAATTCCCTATCAATATCAGGATAAAATCTTTTCTTACTTAGTGCTATGTTTTTGCTTTGCTGTTTATTTTTGGATAAGGTGAGGTTGTTATTGTGCTGTTTGACCTCTCAATCCTAGACCAGCCCCCCAATCAGCTTGCAATCTCCTGTCATGGCTTAGTGACACAGTCCCGTGATGATGTCAATAGCTGGATAATCTGCTAGCCTCCCTGCCCCCAGCCTTTTCTGAGACTAAATCTGGCTACTGCCATATTCTCACCCCTTCCTCCTCTTAAATCTGAATCCTTGTAATCTTTATCTGTGTCCTTCTGCTTGTGAGTATAGAAGAAATGATATTGGCCTGAAATGGTTAAATGAAGCGTAAAGTCCTGTGGACAAATGAGGTGGCATGTGGGGCATATTAGCACACAGAAGATGGACTTCAGGATGTCAGGGGGTTAACACAATCTGTGTGGCCTGAGCTGCATGTATCAGAACGGAACAAGCTGACCTAGATAGGTGGGATCCCATGGAGTCCAGTACCAATGTCCCTTGAATAAAAACAGTTATGTTTTGAAAACTGTGCTACTGTAAAACTTTTTGTTGTGATGTGTGGGCTTTTTAAACATTTTTTTTAAATTTTATTATTTATTATAAGTGACTATAAAGCAATTGGAGAGCATGCATGCGCAAAATTATGATTTATCTTCAATAGATAACGTAGCATACATGCAAGATAGCACACTCATTCAGTGGACAGTTGCAAAGATCAACGATTTGAACAATGTGAATGTTATTCCATAAACCTTGATCTGCTAGAAATGTATTGGGATTATCACATTTTAACCCAAAATGGCAAACTAGAGGGAAAAAAAACAAAACAACTTTTCGGAGTTTATTGCGTGGCTATATTCAATTATTTAAAATTCCTTGGTAATTTCCAACATTTTTTGGCTGAATGAATAGCCTGACATGACAATGTTTTTAGTGTCTGTAAATTAATTATGCATGTTTAAAGGAACACTATATCGTCAGGAACACAAACTTATATTCCTGATACTATAGTGTTAAAAATCCTATCTAACCCCCTTCTCCCACTTAATATATTAAAATCTTACATTTATTCCAGTCTGCTGGTGCTGTCTCTGCCACTGATCAGCCTCCTTGGCTGACATCATCTGAAGTGATCATCTCAGCCATTCCAAAAGCACTGGATTCTCTGAAATTGTCAGTTCTGATGATCTCAGCCAAGGCCGCGGGCCGCGGGAAGAGCCAAACACCACCCTGGCCAATCATCATCTCCTCATAGAGATGCACCGAATCAGTGTGTCTGTGTGAGAAAGTTCAGTCTCCATCAAGTGTGTCCCAGGAAGCACCTATGATAGCCATGTGAGGAGTGTCCACTGGAGGTGTCCCTAGGCTGTAATGTCTGAAAAGACAGTGTTTACAGCAAAAAGCCTGAAGGGAATGATTCTACTCACCAGAACAAATACAATAAGCTGTAGTTGTTCTGGTGACTATAGTGTCCCTTTAATGTACTCTATTCCGGCATTTATTGGTTGACGTATGTGTAGGTATTGTTAATAATCTGTGTATATCTATGTGGCTAGAGTGCAGTCTTAAAAAAACAAGTGTGCTTTTCCTATAAATGGTAGCTTAACTGCTCTTATTCTCTGTATTCTAGATTTTATAGTTAACACTTTTCTCTCCACAGATCCGTTGGAAAAGAAAGCAGAGGTGAGCACTTTCCCTATGTGCATTAATCTCAATTTATTTGATAGAATGATTTGTATGGGTCACTACAAATTCTCTGTAGTCTAAACTTTCTCCCCTTGGTGCTTTATTCCTCTCAGGTCACCTCACTATCTGGGCAACCAGGAACTGGTAAGAAAATAGGACACCGTGGTGTCGATGCTTCCGGAGAAACCACTTATAAGAAGGTTAGTCATCTACTCTGAAAAACATACTATTGTTTTATTAATGTGGATGAAATGATCATTTAAAGGGACACTATAGTCACCAAAACCACTTTAGCTTAATTGAATATTCTTTATGTATAGATCATGCCCTTGTGGTGTTACTGCTCAATTTTCTGCCATTTAGGAGTTAAATCACTGTTTATACAGCCCTAGTCACACCTCCCTGCATGTGACTAACATAGCCTTCCTAAACTTGTCCTGATAAAGAGTCTACTTTTTTCTTTTTAGCTTCCCTTATTGCACATTGTGTTTAATTTAGAATTTCTTGTCTCCTCCTCTGTTAATAGACTGTTGGAGGCTGCGACAGCATCATGTGAATGATTAAAGTTCAATTAGCAGGCGATTAAAAACAAAACTGCAAACTTCAAAATTAAACACTGTAAGCTCTGACTGAAAATTAAATAGTTTTTTTTCATGGTGGCTGCGTGAGTTAACTCACGAGTATTCTAATCTGTTGGTGTAGGCATGTATATTGCAATAAGTGGTTTTGTCACACTCGTATCATTCTTCTTTCACAAGGTTCTCCTTTTTTTTATTTTTTTATTCTTTATTTACAATGACAGAAAAAAAGGCATATGAGCAGTACATAGGATAACGCAGAAGCCAAGATTCGTATTTTACAGTGGTTTCACATTAATACAGAAAGCAGAGAGTGTGTTATTAGGTGTTAATACCACTGTGCAGATTTTTACTTTACTGTTTCCTTCTGACGAGGTTCTCCTTTTTATGTAAAAAACATCAAAATAAGTAAGGTTAATTGCACAAGTCAAACCGGAATTTAGATTCAGGGATTACAACTAAAGTGCAGATGATACACATCTCTAGTTGTTGAAAACACACAGTATGGGAGGATTGTTACATTTTATGTTTAGGATGAGAGAGTGAGGAGGTTTGTGCGTGTGTGCAAATATGATTAAATGTATGTATGCTCATGCAAAAAATACATGAGAAGACAAACAGGTTAGATGAACACTTCAAGGACTGTAAATCAAAATTTTGAAAATGTGTCAAGGGTCACATGTCCACATATACAGTATTCAAATATTCAAAGGGAAGTTCCAAGCTTGATTTAAAAAAAAAAAAAAAATAATAATAATTAAAAAAAATAAAAATATATATAAATAAAAAAAATACTTGCACACTTTGTTGATGTAGCCACAGTCCCACCTCCCTGGATGTGACTTCCACAGCTTTTGTAGACATTTCCTGTAAAGAGTCATCTAATGTTTACATTTGCTTTATTGCAAATTCTGTTTAATTTAGAGTATTGTATCTCCTGCTCTGTTAATAACTTGCTAGACCCTGCAGGAGCCTCCTGTATGTAATTAATTAAAGTTCAATTTACATACCAGGAGATAAAAACTTTAAATTAAGTTACATCTGAAAGTGAAACCATTTTGTTTTCATACAGGCTGTGTCAGTGACAGCCAGGGGAGGTGTGGCTATGGCTTCATAAACAGAAACAAAGTGATTTAACTCCTAAATGGCAGCAAATTTAGCAGTGAGACTGCAGGGGCATAATCTAAGCTAAAGTTATTTTGGTGACTATAGTGTCCCTTTAAGTGATCTATATTGTCTTAATTTTATAAACAGTTTTGAACATAAGAAAATGGCTATTGTGCACAGTGTTATCCACCGTAAAGGCACCTTTATTGCAAGTAAATTAAACTGCTTCAGAAGTCCACATTATCTGGCTTATTCACTAAAAGTGAGAATGTGGGGTGAATTCTAAGTGAATTTCATGTTTTAGACCGAAGTAGCAGAACTTAAAGCATAGCTGACTAAAATAATTATTCTATTAAACTATTTTGGTCTTGGAATTAATTTAATGAATAATTAGACTGTGTTTAAAATAAAACAAAACAGAAAAACCATTCAAAAAACAAGGGTCGCGCTTTTTGAGATTTGTTTTAAATAGTCAGAGGAAGATCGGATACTTAATCCTTTTTAATTCTTTACTGTTGAATTGTAGATATTAAATTAATCTCATTTATCAGTTTTGTTGGATAAGTGTTACTTTTTTTTATGCTATGTTGGTCTCTGACATCTGCCAGTAAACAAGATATTTTACTTCCGTCCCTCTTCCATGCATCAATTTTGCCTCTCTTCTTGCACAGACAACATCATCCACCTTACAAGGCGCTATTCAGTTGGGAATTGGATATACCGTTGGCAACCTGAGTTCCAAACCAGAACGGGATGTCCTTATGCAAGATTTCTATGTAGTGGAGAGTATATTTTTTCCTAGGTGAGTGACAAATGACATGTCATTTTTATATCTCTGTTCCTCTGGGTGTTCTGTCAGTAGAGTCCCATCTCCTCTGCCTGTTCCCAACCATAATAATATTTTCTCCTCTCTCTCTTTTCCCAGTGAGGGCAGTAATTTAACCCCAGCACATCATTATCCAGACTTTCGTTTTAAGACCTACGCCCCTGTGGCTTTCCGATATTTCCGTGAACTCTTTGGGATTCGTCCAGATGACTATCTGGTCAGTATTGATTTCAGTGCTTTGGTGACCCGTTTTCATGTTTTCTTTTCATCTTTGTGACAATTTTTTTTTTTCTTCTTTATGTTTTAATAGTACTCTCTGTGCAATGAACCACTAATTGAGTTATCTAATCCTGGGGCCAGTGGATCTGTCTTTTATGTCACCAGGGATGACGAGTTTATCATTAAAACTGTGATGCACAAGGAGGCTGAATTTCTGCAGAAACTGCTCCCTGGATATTACATGGTATTTTTTTTTTTTTTTTTAACCCTGTTCCCCCTATTTGCAGAATTTACAATACAATACAGAACTTTAAATAGTTGAAGTGTACCTCTCGCTTCGCAATATTACACTTCCTGCTGTATATTGTGTGATTTTATTTTTTATTATTGTTTTCTCAACGTGTTTGAAAGTTATGGTTTAAAGGGTTTTGGTGTATACATCATGCCCCTGCATTTTCCCTGCTCAATTTAAATTACTTGCACAAGTTAAATCACTTTGACGTAGCCACAGTCCCACCTCCCTGCATTTGACTTCCACAGCTTTTGTAAACATTTCCTGTAAAGAGTCCTCTAATGTTTACACTTGCTTTATTGCAAATTCTGTTTAATTTAGAGTATCGTATATCCTGCTCTGTTAAGAACTTGCTAGACCCTGCAGGAGCCTCCTGTATGTAATTAATTAAAGTTCAATTTACATACCAGGAGATAAAAACTTTAAGTTACATCTTTTGAAAGTGAAACCATTTTGTTTTCATACAGGCTGTGTCAGTGACAGCCAGTGGAGGTGTGGCTATGGCTTCATAAACAGAAACAAAGTGATTTAACTCCTAAATGGCAGCAAATTTAGCAGTGAGACTACAGGGGCATAAGCTATACACTAAAACTGCTTCATTAAGCTAAAGTTATTTTGGTGACTATAATGTCCCTTTTAAGTGATCTATATTGTCTTAGGGCTTTTAGATATTTTAAATAAAATGTTTTTTGTGCATACTTTAAAAGATCCCACTGACATCTTTTCAGGATATTTGTCGGCTGTTGTTTATTATTGTATGTGTGTCAGTAACAGAATTTACCAGAGGTACAAATCCTGGCAAGCAAGGTTTCTATATGTTGCAATGAAAAGTGACAACATACCTGAAATGTTTTTTTGTGGGTTTTTTTTTTCCTGCAAATGCTTTAACAGTGACTTTTGTTGTTTTTGCACAATCCAAGCTCTAACCTCAAAGTTAAAGTAGCATTTTTTTTAAATAAAGTTTAATTTTATTTATTTACCTTTTTTTTGTTCCCCTTTGCAATTTTATTTTCTACTGAGATGCTGCACATACAGACTGTTTGCACCATGTCTAATTCAAACCACTGAAGTGGAATCAGTGCTTGGAGTAACTCTTTAAAGCGACCCTGTCCTTTTACTTTTGGGTTACTTATGCTTGTATCTTTATAATCATACTCTGTCCCTTGCTTTTATTTATATTTATTGATAAAAACACACAATTGGGTCAGCGCTTAATAACAAAATAGTGGAAAATAAGGCAGCAACCCTAAGAAGGGGATCCCTCTCAACCCTTCAAAGTAACATATAGAAATATTTATTTAATACCTTCCCTACGTATTCTATAGAGTCTCCTGCATATTATTGTATAGTTAACTTTAAGTTTGAAGAAAAACCAAACACAAAGTATTCAATTGGCGCCATATTGCTGATCCAAATGATCCTCAGCTGCGTAAGCGTTTTGAGGTTATTAAGATATGGGTCATTTTCCTACTCTTCTCTCCAACCTACAGAACCTAAACCAGAACCCAAGGACACTGTTACCCAAGTTTTATGGCCTGTACTGTGTACAGTCTGGTGGGAAAAATATCCGTGTGGTCGTCATGAACAACATCCTGCCGCGTGTAGTGCGCATGCACTTCAAGTATGACCTGAAGGGCTCTACCTACAAGCGGCGGGCATCGAGAAAGGAACGGGAGAAACGCAGCCCTACCTACAAGGACCTAGACTTCATGCAGGATGCTCCCGAGGGCCTGCTCTTGGACACTGATACCTTCAGTGCTCTGGTCAAAACCCTGCAGAGAGACTGTTTGGTGAGAGGCCTTCCAAAAACATGTTTGTGGTGGGTCTTTTTCCCTTCTCCCCCATCCCACATCTCTATCCAAGCAAAAACAAGAATTCCTTGTTATTACGAACAAGAAACAGCGTCAAAAACAAATTCTGGAAGCGAGTGTTTTTCACACTTAAGGTAACACGTACCCGTTAAAAATGTGTATTGTTCTGAGGAATTGCCGTTTTCAGCTTTTTAATTTTCCATTTAATAAAAGTAGCATTCCAATCCATAATCAGTGGGGGGACGAGGCGGACCTCTCATTTGTGATGGTGCCCCGCCATCTACTAATAACATTCACTATGTGCTATAGTTACTGTGCTATATAAGATCGGTTTTAGCACAAAAGCTCTTTTCTTGTCTAAGAATACATGAGAGGTTTGCTTCATAGCTTCAGTTTGCAAGACAACAAACTCATTCCTTTACTAACGTGCTGGGAAATGGCAAGGGTTTACTATATCACAACTTGCCACTTAGAAAATCTGATTACATGACAAGCTTTAATTGCCATGTTTATTTAACATCAGCAAACTATGCCGTGTTGGCAATTTTAAGTAAAGTGTGTAAAAAAAAAAAAAAGTAAAGGAAAACTGTAAGCACCATAACCACAACAACTTAATGTCGTGTATTTGGTCCTGCAGTCTGGCAAATATAAAGATTGCTGTTTGCTAGAAATGGCTGTGTTCACATTTGTCAGTCAGCCTCTTGTAACTGTCAGATAGACAGCTCATGCAATAATTTAGCTAAATGCTTCCAAAAGGAAGCATTGGATTCAGTTGCCTCGCTATGGCAAGCATCCGATTGGCTAAGAATGGTAAATGTTGGTCGTGCATCATAGGGTTTCAATACTTCTCTGTTAGAAGCATTGATTGGACATAGATCATGCATCAGCATGATCGCAGAAAATGAAAAGCAGTTTTTTGGGGGGGGGTTTTGTGAGAAAAATGGGACAGCACTGGATATAAGGGGAGAAAACAACTAAACTAACTTTTTTAACATGAGCGGCTCTATAACCTAAACAAGCAGGTGAGCACTCTAAGGTTATAACTATATTATAAAACGTCTAGTTTTGCACCACACAGAACAATGTAAGTTTATTTGTGTGGTTTTTCAAATCCAAGAATACTATATTGCAATTCCACAGGATAAAACATATTTACATTATTAACTATGCATTCTGGTGCTTAAATCTTACAATTTTATCATCTTTTTAAAATGACCATGTTGTTTTTTGAAGGAAAATACATGTAAACATGAGACGAGATTTATTACAATTTGTGTATTATAATTATAAAATGACACAAATGGCTATATTTCAGCAGCCAATTGTTGTATACTCTTTGCTGGAGAAGGGATGTTTCACCTGTGAGATCATTGATCCCTTTGTCCCTGTTTTGGTAATTTTGTTCATGTATATCAAAAGGTTCTAGTGTACTTTATGTTCATGTTTTGCATAATATAATTAAAGGGACACTATAGTCGCCGAAACAAATTTAGCTTAATGAAGCAGTTTTGTTGTATAGATCATGCCCCTGCCGTCTCACTGTTCAGTTCTCTGCCATTTAGGAGATAAATCACGTTGTTTATACAGCCATTGTCACACCTCCTTGCATTTGACTTACACAGCCTTCATAAACACTTCCTGTAAAGAGTCATCTAATGTTTACACTTCATTTATTGCAAATTCTGTTTATTTAGAATTTCTTATCTCCTGCTTTGTTGATAGCTTGATAGACCCTGCAGGAACCTTCTGTATTAGAGTTTAATTTACAGAGGATAAAAACTTTTAAAGCAAGTTAACATCTGATTGAAAGTGAAACCATTTATTTATTTTTTCATGCAGGCTGTAGGAGTCACTGACCGGGGAGGCGTGACTTGAGCTGCATTAGCAGAAACAGAAGTGATTTAACTCCTAAATGGCAGAGAATTGAGCAGAGAGACTGCAGGGGCATTATCTATACACTATAACTGCTTCATAAAGATAAAGTTGTTTGGGTGACTATAGTGTCCCTTTAAGCCTATTTTATATTTATTTAGCATTTCTAAATAACCAGAAAGCCAGGTTGTCAGTGATATTCTAAATGGAACATTGATTTGAGTTTTTCTTCTTTGGTTAGGTTCTAGAAAGTTTCAAAATTATGGATTATAGTCTGTTACTGGGAGTCCACAACATGGAACAACAAGAGCGGGAACGTCAGACGGAGGGGGCTCAGTGCCAAACCGATGAAAAGCGTCCTGTTGCACAAAAAGCACTGTATTCCACTGCAATGGAGTCAATTCAAGGAGGAGCAGCTCGTGGGGAATCAATAGACACAGACGATACGTGAGTAACACCCACCTAGCATACTCTGTTGTGATTGGAAAGAGTAGGGCTTGAAGATTGGCACAATATTATGTGTCATTAGAGGTCGATAACATTGCTATAAGGGAGGAAGACTATAATTTAGTAAAAGGTTTGTGCTTAGACTTTTACTGTGTATCAAATTGTTAAATCTTCAGCTTGAGATGGATAAAGAGAGTTTTGTGTTTCTTACCCAAGTGATCCAAACTACTTTTTTTTACAAAGAGATGATTTTAAAAGTGGGTTTTATTACCTGGAATAGTGTGGTTGGCAAGGTCATTTGATTTCAGCTATTAAAATCTAAACTATTTTTTTTTTTTCTTTTTTTTTTTTTCATACTCTGTTTTGAAGATACATTGGTTTAAGGAACACTCTAAACCCCTAAGGCATGAGAAACTTTAAGGGCTTTACAGTGTCCCCTCAGTCTCGCTTTATAAAAGTTCAATTTAAAAAAAACAAAAAATTTGCTCACTCATTTTGATTGCTTGTTCAGAGCAAAAGGCGATGCTTCCCGAAGCGAAGTACTGTATTCTGTAATTTACATTCCATCGGAGAAGCACGGCAATTGTTGTGCATGTGCTGTTGCATCACAGAACTTCCCTACGAGAAGTATTAAATTCACCCTAGACCAGGCATAGAAAACCCTCGGCACTCCAGATGTTTTGGACTACACCTCCCATGATGATTTGCCAGCATTATGGGTGTAAGAGCATTATGGCACAACATCTGGAGTGCTGAAGGTTGCCTAAGCCCTGCCCTAGACCTTCCTGAGTATCTTCACTACTAAGGATCTCCCAGGGACAGAGCAGAGTTGCATCAAGGAGTCTGCCTACTGAGGTGTTCTTTAAAGTTCTCTTGTATCTTCTCTTATGCTTTTTTTTTGTTTTTTACCCTCTTCCTTGTTTTGGGATACTTTTTTCCTTTCTTTATCTTTAAGTGTTCTCATGCAGGCATGTTTCCTAATTTAGAGACACTGTATCCATTTCAATCACAAGAAAGCATAATTCTCTTGGAGCTTGAATTTTAAGAAGTGGTCTGGGTGCAATGTCCCTGTAGTTTTAACCCAGCAGTATAAAACATTGGCATTCTACAGTGATGCTATTATTTACAGTGCATGGTTTAAATGCCTCTAGTGGTTGTCACTCTGACGGTTATTAGAGGCGCTTCCATCGAAATAGCAGAGGGAATCTCTATTTCAATCAGAAGGTCTTATAGAGACTGTCTGATTGGCACAAAACAGCGTTTTGCCACGGACACACACTAACCTTTTAATGCTTTCCTGTGGGAAAGCATTGGATTGACTGAGATTGTCATTCTTGATGATCTCAGCCATTTAGGCAGAAAAGGAACGTGGAGACAATACAATGGTTTTTATTTTTTATAATACTCCTTATGGTACAGGGCATCTAAGCCTTTCATATTGCACTATAATGTTAGGAATTCACATTTGTATTGCTAATGCTATAGTGTTCCTTTAATAAATATATATATATATATATATATTCATAACCTATTTCTTTTTTCATAGCATTAAACATCTAAAGAAACATAAAAACTGAAAATTCCGGATTTACACCTGTTTTTTGTCTCCATCAGGATGGGCGGAATTCCAGCTGTGAATGGGAGAGGAGAACGTTTGCTGTTGTACATAGGCATTATTGACATCCTGCAGTCATACAGGTAAAATACACGTTTCTAAGCATTCCGTGAATGCCACTATAGCTCTCCATGCATCAATCTTAATGTGTCAACATTGCTTCACCTCTACCATTGGTGTCTTTTTACATCGTTTGTTTGACTTTTTTTTGTTAATAACCCATAGATGAAACTGATAGACCGACTCCATTCTCTCTCCTGAGCGTTTGTTTAGTTCAATACAGGGTAAAGAAAGACATGTTTGCCAATGCCATTGTTTGGAATAAGTGCCATGTAAGCATTACTAGCCCAGTGAAAGGACACTGATTTTGAGAGATTTAGTTAGATTTTTAAATTTATTTATTTTTTACATGTTTTTAATAATGAAAATGTATGCCACACTTGCTGCAATTTCTTTTTCCTGGCTATTTATTCCTGGCAGCATCACTTATGGGTAGCTCCAGCCCCCAACCAGAGAAAGACAGGAAATACAGTAGTCGGTTGAAAAGCTACAAGAATTGGAAAAGATGGGATAAAAGCTAGGAAAATAAAATTATGGTTATTATTAAGTATGGAATACATTTTTCTTATTCTTGGCTAACCATGGCAGCATCATTAATGGTTAATACGCAAACGCACCAAATATGGGGGAAAGTATTTTGGATGAAAGTGCTATAAAAACTATTAGCGTGAGCAACAGAGGTAAGAACTCCACTGCTAAAGGAAGAAGATGGAGAGACCAAGTCCAGCTTGTAATGCTTGATAAACGTCACTGGGGAAGACCAGGGGGCTGCCTTAACAAATGTCATGAGGAGACACCTATGTCCAGTTATTCCAAGATGTTCATAAGGATCTTGTGGAAGGAGCCTTAATTTTTTTTCAGGAGGAGTCAGTTGATTTTGACGATAAGCCTCTGAGATCGCCACAGAAATTCAATACCTTAAGATTGAAGATGAAGGATCCTCTCCCTTGAAAGTCCCAGATGGGAGAATTGGTTTTGCCATTGAGAAGGCCACCAGGAAGAGCAATTTGTAGGTCAATGTTAGAATGAAGATGTCTTCTAATGGAGCACAAGGAGGGTCGGTTAGGTTATTTAAGGGAGAGTCCAAATCATAAGGGGTAGCCGAGTCCTGGGTGAGGGGCCTGATTCGCATGTTCACTTTGAAGAGCCCTGCAATGAGGGGGTCAGATTGCATATGGCTGACAGACCTGAGGATTGGACTTTGAGAGTACTAAGGCTAAGGCGTTAATCCAGACCCGCCTGAAGGAATTTCAACACTTGAAGATGGGAAGGTTGTAGGAAATAAAATAATTTTTCTAATGCCTAGATTTTAATGGTTTCCTAAATACACTAGTAGCAGGATGAGGTAGCCTGTTTAAAACAGGTGCCAAAATTGGATCGCATATTCAAGGTGGCATAAATCAGTACCCCTTTTTATATCTGACAGCACCAACATTGCAAACTGTCACCTAGTTTGTTGTCTGTAATTGTTACAAATTCCTTTCTTTTTGTCTTCATTTAAGGTTATCCAGAATTCACCCCTATGTAATGTGTATGTTGTTTGTTGGTTCCTTATTCCAAAATACATGACTTTGCTTTTTTTTGTATGAAAACCAATCTACCAAATACTTGTCCAGTGCCCAGTTTATCAAAATCCCTCTGTAGAGCAGTAATATCCAGTTCAGACTGCATTACCTTACCTAGTTATAACGATAATGCATTAAAAAGAGACCATTGTTTTCCTTGTTTGTTGTAATTCCTCACGATCTACAACTTCTGCAGTGATATCTACAGTGATGAGAAAATAAATACGACCTCTTGGCAAATCTTTATATTTCATGGTAATTCTCCAAGTATGTGATGAGCCCTGCTCACCAATTCATACATTTCAACTATCTGTTTATCATTGTAATGTGAGTTCATAAAGCGGGTTCATATTACTAACACAACTACTTAATTTATATATCCAATAGAATCAGGTTAGTGTCCGCATGTGCTGTACACTCTCATAGAATATAGTAGATATTTACTATCATCAGCTGTGTGTTTCCTACCTTGCTTCTCATGCTGTTGGAATAGGTAGCCCGGCTGAAAATAAATTGCAATGATGTTTTTTGCATTTTTGTTTGTGTTAAAAAACAAAACAAAACATGCTGCGAGGTATCAAATTAAACCCATTTGTTGGCATTGCATTGAAATAGTTGTGGGTTTTTTTTTTTTGGTTGTTTTTACAGGCTTATTAAGAAGCTGGAGCACACGTGGAAAGCACTGGTACATGATGGGGTGAGTCCCGAAATTACCTCTTCTTACATATATTTATTATGGTATAGTATAGAATTATTTATTTATTTTTCCTTTGGAAATACATTGGTTTAACCGAAAACTCAAGGCCCCTAAAGCACTAGAAAACTTTAAAGGGTTAACACAGTGTCCGTTCAGTCTCACTTTTATAGAAGTGACATTTTGTTAATTTCCTCACTCGTTTTGATCTGTTGCTCTGCGCAAAAGGCAATGCATTCAGTGTTTCTATGAGAAGCACTAAATCCCCCGAATATCTTCATTTAAAAAATAATAATAATAACTTTAATTAATTTGTGTAATGTTGGGATTTTAACGTCTGTTAAGTATCAGTGTGATTTATTGTCTTCAGCTGTATTTGGAATTAAATCAGGCATAATAAATGGAATATTTAATAAAATCTTAAATCTGGGAAAGTAACAGTTCCCCTTTAAATATCGCAGCTTTTGAAAAAAAAAATTGTGTCATCACATGTAAGTATGCCACTACTGTTTATGTATGCGTTTAATAATTTTTGTTTCAGGACACTGTGTCTGTGCACAGACCAAGTTTTTATGCCGAGAGGTTTTTCAAATTCATGACAAACACAGTTTTCCGCAAGACATCCTGTGAGTACTTTGTTACCCTGAGTGTCCGTGTGTGTAAGTAGCTGTATGTGTGTGCTGATATTCCATGTGTCTGTAACACATGACAGAACTAAAGTCACAGTATCTTTGTTAATGAAAAGATGAATAGGCCATCCTTTAAATTATAGACCTTGGTAAACTAACCTCTGGTGTTTTTGCAACATTACTGGGAGTCATGGTATAGTGCGTTCAGTCTTTGCTGTCCTTTTTTTATTTTACAACAAAGACGATTGTCCTGGGATACAACTGAGCTAGCAAAATATAATTAGATAGAAAAGAGATTAAATGTCAAGGAGCGGGTAATTGTAATAAATGAAGCCTTTGTTGTCGCAGTCATCGGACACAGTGGTTCTGCATCCTTTGCTTTTTAATTAGCTTTTTTTTTTTAAACTTAAGTGGGCATTGAGAGAAAACTACCCTTAATAGGATAAAGTTCATTATAAAAAGAGGTCACGTAGGTTTCACATTAAAGGAGGCACTTTAATAATAATAGATGAATTCTATGAGAATCCTTGATTGAAAATGATTTCATGTACTTCTCTTTTAATGACAGCATACATTTTCAAACGGAAAACAATTAATTGCTGTAAGTGTTGTAGCTACCTGTGTGATGTATTTTGGCTATGTGAGACGTAAGGGTAGCTATGAGTGATTGTGTGGGCATACGGTAGTGATTTTTAGACCGTTTTGAGTGATGTGGGAAGCTGTGAATACTGTGAGTGATGTGTCTGTAGCTGTGACTACTGTGTGCTGGTAGCAGTGAGTGATGTGTTTTGGGAGTGATGGAAAGTTGTGACGAAGAGGAGAGGAATTGGAGTGATAAGAGGATGGGTGGACACTGCGGTATGGGTGGGATTAAAGGCATGGATTAATAGAAGTGATACAATGATGGAAAGAAAGGCGTGTTAAAAGAATCAGGACAGAGGCATGAGTAGGAGTGATTGGAGAATGGGAGGAAGGATGGGTGGAAGTGATGGGGAGTTGGAGGCATTAGTGGAGTTATAGATGGAGAGGAAGAGCAGATTGGGATTGGTGATAGGGTGGGTGTGATATAAGGAGTGGAAGAAGTATGGGGTGGCACTGTGGTAGCAATACATCAGAGTTACAATATAAGATTTAGTACTGCAGAGCTTTGTGCTAGTTTTACAACCACATATTAATGTTACTAAGTATTTGCATAACTGTATTATGTGATTTACAAATAAGTGTATTCAGATCTGTGTATCCAACTAAACACCCTGACATACAGCCGTAGCACCCACTGATAGCTGTAGGAGTTTGTGTTCTTTAGAATACTGAAAGTCTTCCGGAGGATTCTTAAGCCACCTGCCACTAAATGATGTTTTTTTTTCTGCTTATATTTATTATGGCTGCAGCATCCTATACTGTGAGATTGATGGTAGTGTGGTCAAATTACATTTGCAGACTATTGGCTAAAAACAAAATTAGAAAAAAAAAATTCCACCTACTGATGGTGATATAAGTGGCCGAGAAGAGATGTGCAGGCCTCACATTGCTCTCGCAGCTCGGTATTCTTCTAGCAAGGTCTGATGGGGAAGGTATGTGATGTCACACTACCAGCTCCACTGCACACGTATACCTGTCTCAAATATTGCACATTGTTTTGCGTATTTGTGCATATATTTGGGCTGAAGCTGCACCTGTGGAAATAGCTACTGGAGCAACACTATAGTCACCAAAACAACTTTAGCTTAATGAAGCAGTTTTGGTGCATAGATCATTCCTCTGAAGTTTCATTACTCAATTTGCTGCTATTTAGGAGTTAAATCACATTTGTTTCTGGTCACACTTCCCCTGGCTGAGACTTACACAGTCTGCGTGAAAAAAAAATGATTTCACTCTTAATCAGATAGTAACTTGCTTTAAAAAAGTATTTCTGATCTCGACATTGAGCTTTAATTACACACAGGAGGCTCCTGCAGGATCTAGCAAACTAGTAACAGAGCAGGATATAAAAAATATCTAAATTAAACAGAATTTGCAATAAAGGAAGTATAAACATTAGATGACTCTTTACAGGAAGTATTTAGGAAGGTTGTGCAAGTCACATGCAATGAGGTGTGTCTAGGGTTAATAAAGTGATTTAACTCCTAAATGGCAGAGAATTGAGCAGTGAGACTGCAGGGACATGACCTATACACCGAAACTGCTTCATTAAGCTAAAGTTATATTGGTGACTATAGTGTCCCATTTAATACATCCATAGAGTGAAATATCTCTACACTACATCTAACTACACTTTATCAACCAAAAATACTTTTATTATTGTTATTATTTACATAGCATCATCATACCCCAAAGCACTTCATGATGTTGGGGGAGGGTGGGGGAACTTTTTTAGAGGAGGACAGAATTCCATCTAGACTATTCTATAGTTCTGTCTAGTAAGACTCAATAGACACCATTACAAAAGTTAGGAGACACTTTAGTTAAAGCGAAAATACTCCCAGGCGCTAGTGATGTATCCAAGAGTTTCACAGGCATTATCAGAAGAGGCCAGTGCCAAAAAAAGTGTGCTTGTCCTCCAACCTAGATTCCCTTTATCTCTGTGTATGATATTCTAGAGATCTTAAGTGTGTGAATTGGTACTTCCATGAAAACCTTGACTTTGTGTAACTCATATTATCATTTATCTGCCTGCACAGTTAGTACTTTATTGGGGAAGAATTGCTTTTAACATTTAATTTTATGCGTCTAGCTCTCAAGTCTTCTCCATCAAAGAAGGGACGGAGTAATCTCCTTGCTCCTCGCCCTATTGGACCTTCAGCAGCCTTCTCAGCTGGCCAAATACCTACAGAACAAGACGAGGTGAGATATGACCTGCGTGGAGCTCGCAGCTACCCTACACTGGAGGACGACAGTGAGTATATCACAGCAGTGTCGTTATGGAAAATATTTGACACTTTCACAAAGGTATAGATTTAATTTAAAGATTGTACTGGTGAATTTGCTCGCAAATGAATACATCAAAAAAGATCATATTTACTGATGGTATTTTTATCAGAATGGATAAGGAGATCAAGCACTCGTGATGACCTCCATGGCTATAGGTTTTACTGCTGTGACATTGGTATAACCATAAATGCTGTGGAGAGTTCAAAAATGCATATACTGAAATTACTTCTCTGCACACAAACCAGCAATTTTTTGTGCACAGTGTATAATTTAATGTTAATCTCCTTTATAGTTCTATCCAAGTCACATTGGTTATGACAGTTGCACGTAAAAGTTGGTACTATCTTGACGTAATGGCAAATATCACCCTCTTTTTTTTTTTTCTTTTTTTTTAAGACCGACCAGATCTCTTACCGTGTACGCCACCGTCGTTTGAAGAGGCCACAACGGCTTCCATTGCAACAACTCTGTCTTCAACCTCGTTGTCTATTCCAGAGAGGTCCCCTTCTGAGACGTCAGAGCAGCCACGGTACCGGTAAGTTAAGAGTGGCAATGCATGGGAAGGACATTAGAACACTCTCAATCACACACTGTGCTATCTAGAAGGAATCTGGTCTTAATCATATCTCCTCCTAACAAACTATTCAGTGTAATCTCTGAGTTTTTTTTTGTTTGCGCATTTTATTTTGTATAGACTCAAATTGGACAATCTGTAAGAAGCAATTCTGGGGTAACTGTCTAAACCAAGGGCAATCACAAAGACATTCCATTGGCTTCAATGGTGATTGCTATATTTTTTAAACTTTGACCCAGAATTGTTCGTTGATAAATACATGATCACTAATGGGTGAAAACATCCATAGTTCATACCTCTCTGTTCTTCTGTTAACCAGTTAATGTGGGCAGACTACCTATTGACTAATTACATATACAGCTTACCAAATGTTTTCGTTCAATAGTGCAGTATGAAGTACTTGTCAAAGAAATACAAAAAGATACAATATAGTGCAGATAGTATTTAAAGTGACAATGCAGGAATAATATTGTGGTGAACTGTACACTCACATTTCAAGGAGCCTGTATATAGAAACACTGGCTCCGTATTGAAGCTTATGTGCTTATTATGGTAGCACCACCCTTCCACTTCGACTTGGAGTAGTTCTCACAGACATAAAGAGAGAACGAACTAATGTGTAGATTGTAGCAATAAAAACATGGATGTAGGACAATAAATGTGGTGCTCACCTGGTCCTGAGCCTATGGGTCCCGGCTCTAGGTGTAAAGGTTTGGTGCCAATTTAAATGGGGATGGCACTGCCCCTATGGAGATTCTTAGAGGATCCAAAAAAAGACTTGAGCAGGATCTTAGGTAGAGTAACAGATTTATTAATATATAAATAAAAATAAATGTTAAAGTCCTCAATAAAAGTCCTTTTAAAATGGCCAATACACATTTCACTCTCAATAGAGCTTCCTCAGTCAGCTGTAATGTTGGTCCTTTGAATCTTCCATTTTAAATGTCTCTTAGGTCTTCCTCTTTAATAAGCTAAATACATTTTATCCAATCACAGTGATATATACATATTTCTTATATAGAGAAATTTGTGTGTTTGTCTTTAATTGGCCGAATTTTCGGCGCCTTTATCCCCTTAAGGACACATGACATGTGTGACATGTCATGATTCCATTTTATTCCAAAAGTTTGGTCCTTAAGGGGTTATTTACTATTATTTACATTGATGGGCGGTGATGGTTGGCGGAAGTGTTCTGGGCCTGCCAGAACGGTTGGCGGAAGTGACGTCACGGACCCACGTGAGCGTCACTCCAATGCTGCCTGGAGATTCCCAGATCCTTCGGCCGTGCCGCACGTCTCTTATGCCTGCGGGTCAGGGGGAGGGGACTATGGCATGTGAGGGGGTGGTCCGCGAGCACATCGATTCGTCCCGCCCCTCGGGCGTGTCGACGTGCCTGCAAGCTCCTCCCCCCTCCAGCATAACTCTGCAATGGGTAGAATATGTGTGTATAGAAATATAAAGTGAAGGAAAGAGTAAAGATGAACAAGGAAAGTGGGAGGAAAATTATACAAAGGTTATAATAGATATAATCTGTATGTCAAAAAACTTAATATGGTATAAATAGTGACAATAGTGACTTAATATTTAAAGTGCATAAAGTGCATTTAAAGTGGAAAATTTACATTTAGCAATAGTATTAGATTGGTATGTGCAAATCTAATACTATTGCTAAATGTAAATTTACCACTTTAAATGCACTTTAAATATTAAGAGATTCAGAGGACCAACATTACAGCTGACTGAGGAAGCTCTATTGAGAGTGAAACGCATATTGGCCATTTTAAAAGGACTATTATGCCCGCCGGCGTTTAGAGCCAGCTCCTGTGGGGTGTAATAGCACGCCCTCTGGATTTAAGCGGTTAAAATGTGTAGTCAAGTCCAATCTTTTGTTCTATGTCAACCCTGGGGCATTTTGTTTACCTGCATTCTACCACAGAATGCACAAATGTATGGGAATATCATTTCTTTTTTAAGCTCAATCATTACACACTGTATGCATCGTTACCGACCCATCCCGCTGCCCTGAGAAATGCGTCAAAGGATAGATGAGGATTTTTTTGTTGTAACTTCAGATGTTAATTTCTAGAATTATTCATTTTTTACATTTAAAGTATTTTACAACATTTAATTGGCTTTGTAGGCTTGGAAGACACCATGAACGTTGCAGCCTGACTTAACTTTAAAAATAAAAACTTGCTTCAGCAGTTCTGTACAGAGCATTTGATCCCTGACCCATCATTTGTTATTTCTTTTTTTCCAGAAGACGTACTCAGTCATCAGGGTATGATGCTCGGTGAGTGGCGCCCCTTATTAAAACATGAAAAAATTGTTTAATTCTCAATCAGGTTTTACAGCATAGTGTGTCTACTTTAGAAGTTCTTATAACCTACTCTGTTAATTGAGCTTTAATCACACACCGAAGACTCCTACTTGTTCTGGAAAGCTAATTACAGAGCAGATCAGACTGTGCAAAGGAAGTTTAAACATTAGATTTGTGTTTAGGAAGGCTGTGTAAGACACCGGTATGGAGGTGTGGCTATGTCTAGGTCTAATAAATAAAGTAATTTAACTTTTAAATGGTAAAGGGGTGACCAGTAAAACTGCATCAGCATGATTTATACACCAACACCACTTTATTAAGCTTAAGTTGTTTTGGTGCTTGGTATCCCTTTAAAGACACTAAAAGACATTAAGATATTTAAGTTACAAACTGCTAGAATTTTTTTTTATTCCTCATGCTAGTTCTGTAGAATGCGTTTTTCGATAACACATATCTAATAGCTTTTGTCCCCCCCTCCCACCACCTCTCCCCCTTACCCCCTGTGAAAAGCCAGCTCCTTTCTTAAGACCGTTATTAAACCAGCACTGTCTTTTTTTTTTTACAGCTTTTCATATGTAATTAATCTATTAATATTCTTCATTCTATTTCTGCTTATAGTGTTTTTGTAAATTTGTCTGTGCTTGTTTAAAGAAAGTAGTTGTGTCTGAAGGTCCTGCACACCTTCTTACCTTCTTACACCTCAAATGGCAGTCACTCAGTCGGCCACTAGAGGTGCTTTCTGGGTCTGTGCTGCTCTGTGTGCACTGCACTGATGTTCAGCATCTCGATGATCTGCATGAAGACACTGAATTGTCATTCAATGCTGCTCTATGAGGAGATGCTAATTGGCCTGGGTGACATTTAACTCCGCTCCCACCCCGCCTCCTTGGCTGCATTGGATTGGCTGATCGATTCTGATTGTGTCAGCCAAGAAGGTGAATCGGGGCGGGGACCGCTCCGGCAGACCCGCGTGGCGCTGGAATAGTGGTGAGTTTTATTACGTTTTAGGGGGGCAAGCCACCGAAATTGTGATTTTAACACCATAGGGTCAGGAATTTGCATTTGTATTCCTGACCCTATAATGTTCATTTAAGCTCACTAAAAGAATTTTCTTTTTAAAGTCGCCTTTAATTTAAATTGCACGCAATATTACCAATTTCTGACCCTTGACTTGCAAGTTTTTGGCAGTGATTTGGTTAAATAAGGTGTGTAATTTCACTAGATTGTATTGTACTAACACACCTCATTGTCACGTAACAAAGCTCTGGTTTATACTTAGAACTCACGAGGAATCAAGACCAGAAGACGAGGTTCAGCAAATAACAGTTGAAGTGGAAACGAGACAACAGAGTGTGCCGGTGGTAATGGAAACAGAAGACAGATGGTGAGAATAAATTTTTTGTGGTTGTCTTGAGAGAGTGTTAACAATATCCGGTTTAAATTAGTAACAATTTAAAATGTATTTTTATTTTGCATCATGCAGCGAGGCTTCTGGATTCACAGGGGTGACTGGTCCTGGGGAGGAGACTGGAAGCCAGAGGTCAGAAGAGGAAGAGGTGCCAGTGACAGATATTTATTTTGTAAGTGACCTGGTAATTTATTGATGACGTATTCGTTCTGTGTTGCATTCATTTGCCCAGAAACCGATGGAACCAAAATGTTTTACGTAATAATTAAATATCACCTAGTCCAGGGGTCTCCTACTGAATACCTGATATTTTTGGATATGGAAAGTGTCCATCTTTTGGGGCTGAAATTAAATACCTGCATCGGATCCTTTTACTCAGAGCACAGGCTGTTTTTGGTTAAATTTCTAACTTATCAGTTGGGGTTTTATACTTGATAAAATTCTACTATTAAAAAAGGTAATTAATCCTGTTTAAATGTGCACTACCTCGTCAAACTGACTTTCTGTCTACAATAGTGGACCTTGTTTTGTGTGTATATAGCATAATTTGAATGTGTTTTTTTTTTTTTTTGTGTGTGTGTGTGTGTATTTTTGTTTTCATATGTATAAAATACCTTGTTCCATCTCTGCATCTTCTAAATAGTCTATGGTTGTCTTGTGAAATTAACGTTTTCTGTACAGTAAACAAATTTCTCGTCACATGGTAAACCATCTTCTGTTGTTACAAAAAATACAGCAATATAGTTAAAACTGGAAACAAACATGTTTTAACCGCCCTGCAGAATCATTTTAAATAAGGTTCAGAACCTCTGCATTTACAGTCGAAATTAACAGGAAAAGTTTGTTCAACAGTTTTTTAAAAATGTTTTTATTTGTGCTGTATTTCTGGCCGCTTAATATAGTATTTGGTACTTTGAGCTGCTGCCTTGGTTTATACATTTAATATATCCGCTATATAAATGATTCTAGTTGTATAATATGACAAGATTTCTATTACCAAGACCGATAAATCTGTTTCATGTGCATCTTCCATATTAATCATTTAGAAGGCCACAAAGCCTCGAAAATACATTGTCATGAACTGCCAAAAATGAAGGTACGAGATATGGGCATGATAGGATCAATTAACTGCCTTATTAATATTTCAATTTGCCGTTTTTTTTCTTTTCCACGTTACTAGCATTTGCAAATATGTTAATGCTCACTAAAAACCTCAGTGTTCTTTAAACTGATTTTGAAAGTGTGTAAAGCAATGTACTGTTACTGTACTTTTAGTTTATATATATATATGTGTGTGTGTATATATATGTAGATACAGCATGTGGAAGAAGTGATGCATGTTCATAAAATGCATGAAGATTCCTCTTAATGATTTGGAGCCAATGTCTCCGCACATCAACTAATATGTGTAGTAGGAACTTCACTCGAACTCTGCACATATTTCCCATAGTTGCTCCATAATTTTGTAATGGTAAACGGTGCGTGCATTGGCCTAATACCTTATAAAGCAGAAAGTAGATCGGAAGCAGATCATGAACAACTTTTTCCATATTTTTTCTTTTCTCATTACATTGCTTCTTGGTATTTAGAAATCACTTTATAGGTATCTTTTAATATTCCTTTAACTTTGCCGCTGCTATCATTTCTTCCTATAGTTTGCTTGGTTTAACCTATTAATGCTGTCATCTCCATTGAAAGTGCAATTTTAGAGAAAAACATGCATCGACATCCCTGTGCTTGCATCTTTATTCTTAATACATTTCAATTTGCTGTTAAGTTACATTCACCCCTAGCACTGAAGGAGTTAATATTTGCCAGCCTGGCCTCACATCCTGCCCTACGTGGTAAGATATATAGCCCTCCCTTTCCCTATATTGCTCATTTCATGATCTGACACATATCCACGATGGCAGGATTGTTCATTGTCCTCACGCGTTAGCCAAGAATTCTATATTGTTTTGTAACGTTTTCTTTTCTGTTTGTAGCTAACTCATTTCATTCACACTGGCATCCTTCATTTGTCTCCACTTCTTCTGTTCATTTCTATTTTGCATCCTCATCTCATCACTCGACCAGTTCACGGATGGGAGATACTGGGTGTACTCCCCTCGGCTCCATCAAGCAAACTCCTCTTCCTCATCTACTGACTCTGTGAGTGAGTACCCCCAGTGCGTTGACTTTGCCTCTACCTGGAGGCTTCTTTAACGCATTGTGGAGCATTTCTAAAAGGGTTTAGGGCTGTGGTGAACCAGATATCTCCAGTAGTTATTATAGCCCCTGGCAACTATTAACACCCTCACATTCATCCTCTGATTTCACAGATTTTGTTATATCCCTCTTCTCTCTTCTGTCTTCTCTCCTCTTTCTCTTTCCCTGCTCGCTGTGCTGCTTCCGCTCCTGCCTGGCCTTTTTCTTCTCATATTTTGGCTCAGCCACCCGATGACCGGAGCTGGGTATACTCCCCACTCCATTATAACACCCAGACCCAACCGGCCTCCGACGAGGAAAGTGACACAGTAAGTTCCGTATGGAATCTTAATGTTTGGATGTTATGTGGCTGGCCTTCCATATCGTTAAGAATGGGAGAGTGTCTGAAAAGTCGTAGGTCAGTAGGGTTTCTTCACTAAATAAGAAGTGTGAATAATTGACTAGAGAACTGCACATGTTAATCTCAAAACAGGAAGACCACTAAGTTGGAGAATCATATGTTATTTAAATATTTTGTTTAATTATTTATAAAAAGTACTTTGGAATCTACCTTGTTTTGGGATTTCCTGCCAAGATTTGTTCTTTTTGCAAGGTTGAAAAAACCAGTAGGTAGTGTGTATATATAGTTTAACTTTCTGTTATGTGTTGGAAGCTCTACTTAACCCCTTAAGGACACATGACATGTGTGACATGTCATGATTCCCTTTTATTCCAGAAGTTTGGTCCTTAAGGGGTTAAAGGGAAACTCTTAAGCACCACAACCAGTACAGCTATTCATGTAGTTGTTTTGGTGCATACATCTTTTTTTTTCCCCTCCTAAATGTAAACATTGCGGTTTCTAAGAACTGCATGGTGACATGGACACGGTTAATGTTTCTGTATGAGAAGCATCTAATTTGCAGAGAGTGGCTTTTGCCACAAATGAGTCACTGGACCCCAGTGTTTCCCTGTGAGAACCATTGGAGTTGATGTCTGACCGGCCCTGTATCTAAGGTGTTTTTTTAGTTAGTTTTTCTTTTTTTCTTTTGTACACTTGTAAAGGTGAGAACAACATGAATTTAATGTAAACTTACTCCAGTGTTTTTTGGAGGGTTTTTTTCTTGGGTTGATAATTTTTTTTTTTCTTTCATAATAATTTGCCAATAAAATTAGAATCTATAATAATGTATAAATTGGGATGAGAAATCATGCATGTGTTCAGCTGTCCAATCACACACTGAGATTCATAGAAGTGACAATTTTTCTTGAAATCTGCCCTTTTCTAAAATAAAGAAAGGACAGACACTTAACACATAAAGAACTTGTGCTTTGTGTGTTGCTTTAAGAGGTGTCTCAGTTCGGTATTGGGATATAACTAATGCTTAATATCTGCATAAATAAAAGTATAAGAACCTAACCTAGCTAATCTTTAGCATAGGAAACAAAATACAGCAGTCTGTGTAGTGCAAAAAACAAACAAACAATATAATGTAGCTATAATCTCCCATGAAATTAATCGCCAAATTGTACCTAAAAAGCACACCAAATGAAAGCTCGCACAGATCTTCTGGGGTTATAATACAAATAATACAAACTTAACAAAAATGAACATTGCGTAATATGTAGAGCACAGAAAGGGCAATCTCTGCTAAGTAAATGTCAACCCACTCACGTTTATTCGAGCCTCTAATACTGGCTCAAGTATGAAAGACACGATCAAAAGATACTTCAAATTTCCTCAGACAGCATTCCTCCAAATACCTGCAAGTAAAGGGAGATACAGTGATCATCAAACGTAGTATTTAACATTTATTACATGAACAAGAGTACCTTACGTGCATGAAAAAAGAGAAGCACTCTCCAAATAATTCCAAATAAAAAGTACAGCATAACGCGTTCCGATGAAATATGTCTTCATCAGATGCTTTCAACGTACAAATGACCATCTCCGCATATTTTAAGGTCCATTATTGCCCCACACTCTTGGTGCAATGAAATATTCACGTGTTCCAGCATCGTAATCCTGCAGTCATTCAATAATTAACTCAGTTATATTCTCTTCCGAGTGGTGTAACAGACCAATGCAGTGAGTTTGTAGCCATTGTCAAGGTGTTAAGAACACTTCAGGCACTAATTCAACTTAAAGAAACTCTGTGGGCACCATAACAACTTCATCAAAATTCAGTTGTTATAGTGCCAGGAGCTCCCTTGCACTGACTTACCTCCCCTCCAGAGACATTTCGCTCTGTCCTCTCCGTCCTCTCCAACATCCGCTTTCTGAAATCAGTAGCTCCCCATTCACAAAACGGCTTGAGAAAAAGACCTACGTTTCTCACTGTGAACAGGGAGCTACTGATTGGCTTAGAACATCAGTTAGCCGTTCTAAGTCAATCAGTGGCTTCCACTTTGAAGAGTTACAGAAAGTGGAGGTTTTAGGCGGCAGAGCGATACAGTACTGGAGAAGAGACTTTGGGCTTAAACCATTCATGAATCGGTTTCACTGTTAAAAGCAATCCAGCACCAAAGTGCTCCTGGCACCGTAACAACTTCATTTTTATGAAGTTGTTTGGTTCCCAGAGGATCTGTTTAAAGGGTTACTCCAACCACCATGATCAATTCGTTCTCGCTCCCAACCTCCAGCCAGTTAAGAATTAGGAGAAATCCACCCTCCCACCTCCCTTGCCGGCCTGGAGTGCACACATGCGCTCTGAGCCAGCAAATTGGTCCAATGACCGGATTCTTCTCTAACGCACTTTTAAAGGGACACTATAGTCACCCAGACCACTTCAGCTCAATGAAGTGGTCTGGGTGCCAGGTCCCTCAGGTTTTAACCCTGCAGATGCAAACATAGCAGTTTCAGAGAAACTGCTATGTTTACATTGCAGGGTTAAGCCAGCCTCTAGTGGCTGTCTTCCGGACAGCCATTAGAGGCGCATCTGCGACGCTGGAGGCATATTATCCATCGCAGCAGCTTTCCTATTGACAGCTTGAATGCGCGCGTGGCACTTGCCGCGCATGCGCATTCGGCTCCGCTGACGTCGACGGGAGAGGAGAGGTCACTCTCAGGTAAGTGGCTGGAGGGGTTTTGGTTTTTAACAGATTTGTTTTCCTGACACTATAGTGATCCTTTAAGGTCCTCCACCTAAAAAGCATTGGACTAACCCTTTTAGGTGAATTGTATTCATGCTCTGTGTTTCTCCATTTTTGCAGTTTTCTGCGTTGTAACGCTGTCCCCTTAGCCACACCCCTTCTTTCTAAGAGCAACTTCCTTATTAGACATACTCTTGAGAATGTACTTGGCACAACCAATCGGAGAGCTGAGTTGCTGTTGTGACTCCACTTTACAGCCAGTCACTGTCGTCTTATTATTGCCCCCTTTCCCCTCTTACAGCATTAATATGTAGCCAGAATGTATCAGTGTTCATTAAAGTTAGGCATGGTGTGTTGGTAAGGCTTCTGGCTTGGGTAAGTGCTTTTTCAGATAATTTTTTACATATATGTAGGTTGAGGCTGCACTAACACGCCAATTGGTACTGTAAGCAGACGAGTTTAATAATTTGTGAAAACAGATTTCTTGTATAGGATTTCTTGTTCAATGAACAAAGGGGAAGAGGTTCCATTACCTAAAGGTGGCCGGGTGTTTGCAGATACTCACTTCCTACATCATAATTCACAAAAGTGAAAAATGGCATTGTGTGAAAAGATAATTTTGGTAACATTGTATCAGTAAAAAGGGACAATTCCTTCATTCTGCCTCTAGAGTGTGCTATTTTGATGCTCTTGATATCCTTAATGCAGAATATATTTTTAAAAGCAGCTTTTCCTTGTAAATTGAACCATTCAGAGATCTTCAGCAGTCAATGAATTTTAAGACTGAATGAAAAGGGCTGGCTATTAATGCTTTGAGTACCAGATGACTGAACATTGCATTAAATAGTGTGCAGTACACTGGATTCAAGTAAATAAAGCTTTGCATTATTATTATTATTATTATTATTATTATTATTATCATCAGCATTTTTATAAGGCCAACATATTCTGCCTTGGTTCAGATATAAAATACTAGATACAAGAGATGAAGAGTCTTCAATGAAATTAGCTAACTTCAATCTAGGATGTTAATCATGTGATAGTGGGCTTTTTGTCTCTTATAGTTTGTATGTAAGGTTATAACTTTAAAGTTAAAGGGCACCAAAAAAAACTTTAGCTTAATAAAGCAGTTTCGGTGTATAGATCATGCCCCTGCAGTCTCACTGCTCAATTGTCTGCCATTTAGGAGTTAAATCACTTTGTTTATACAGCCCTAGTCACACCTCTGTGCATGTGACTTACACACTTTCTAAACACTTCCAGTAAAGATAAATCTAATGTTTAAAGATCCTTTATTGTACAGTCTTTTTTAATTTAAAATGTATTTTCTGCTGCGCTGTTAATAACCTGCTAGACCTTGCAGGAGCCTCCTGTGTGTGAGTAAAGGTAAATTTACAGAGCAGGAGATTAAAAACTTCTAGAGCAAGTTAACATCTGATTGAAAATGAAACGATTTTTTTTTTTTTTGAGTCACAGCCAAGGAAGGTGTGGCTAGGGCAGCACACCAGAAACAAAGGTGATTTAACTCCTAAATGGCAGAGAATTGAGCAGTCAGATTGCAGGGGCATATGATCTAAACTGCTTCATTACGCTGATGATTTAAAGCCTATAGTGTCCCTTTAAATTTGCCCCTTTTTTTCTTCTTTTTTTTGGGATTTTTTTTTCTTGTAACCCTTCAAAAAAACTGATTATATAGTGCTCCCAAGGACATTGGTAGTGTGTGAGTAAGTTGCATGGTGTTTATGACCTATCATAGTAAATTGTCTATTTAGATCCTCCGTTTACTACACACTCTCTGTCTATCTCTTTCAGTAATTACTATACAGATGAATCAAGGGCAAGCCCTTTTCTCCCTGCCCGGCTATTGAAACTACACAGAGGATCGAAAAAGGATACAAGTATCAGCCATGGATTTGCTAGAGAGGTTTTGAGCAAGGCACACCAGTATATGATATATACATATATTATATATATATTCCTACTGTCCGCTTCCTCCCTGCTCCTCGATTTTCCGTTACCACGTTTACAGTGTGTCTGACTGGCAGCTGTCAGAAGTGTTTGAACTTGGAGGCCAAGCCAGATTATTCCGTCTATTGCTACAATTCCTAAAAACACCTGGCTGGCCGAGAACCAGATTCAGTGGTTGGTCCGTTTTTACTACATTTTGTAAGAATTGTTTGCAGTGGATGGTCGTCTTTGTTTTTAGCCATTGACCCTTGTGAAACCTTTACGTTTTAACATAAATCTGTTTAGATTGCGGTTGGGGGTCCAATAGTTAAAAGGATCATTTTCCTGCATTCTTTTTAGCGTATTATAAATTGATGTTTACATTTTACGTGTGGGAGCCTTAGCCTGAAATTAACGTGCTACATCTCCAGTGTAAGCTGTATAGTGTTCAATATTCTTTTGAAGCAAGACTTTTTTTTTTTTAAATAACGGGTGGTTGAATTCTGCACACAAAGTCCTATAATAATGGAACCTTAATTTATAGGGTAGTTGGGAAAACGCAAATATAAATGAGTTTACTGGAAACATGGGATCAGGGGGGTGAACTAGCTATCAAGTCGAGTATTGCTGGAAAAATCAATGGGGGGGGGGAGGGTGGGGATTTCTTCTGTGCCCTTGATTAGCACTATAACTATTTCCCTCAAGTATTTATATAATATTTTTATTTATTTTTCATTTTATGATTTCTTCATCAGTTGTGCACTCATTCACAAGCTTTCCTGTTTGCTCCGGAAAGATATTTCCAGATTACCGTTATCATGTTTAATTTTTTTTTTTTAGTTTTGATGCAAATTTTATAATTATTAGCAGACTTGCAATTACATTCACCACTTAACAAATCTGCTTTGAAGGCAGCGCACACTGTAATATATTGCAATGCAATAAAGCACCATTTGCAATGCGTCAATCTCAAACCATTCCCATTCTGTTATATCCCGTCTGCTAATGTAATTGTTTCGTGACTGTGCTCCCAAGTACGCATGCGCGCACGTCTATTTAATTTTACATTGTTTTTTATTTTAATTATTTTAAACATTTTAGATTTATCCATTTTGCTTAGGAGTTTTGTGATCTGGTAAAGGGGAAACCCAGCACTCAAGTGTTCATATGTTTAATTTTAGTGGCAGTACTAATTGCACAGGGAGAAAATTTGAGATTCCACATGAATGATCACGCACTCAGTAAATGGGTGCGCTCTATGTAAGTACATGGAAAGCAAAAGTTGCTGCATTAAAGCATTGTCTAGCGTCGGAAAATCGTCACCTTTAGTTACAAGTTGTGGTTGTGCGTTATTTTATATTTTTAATATAATGGATGAAAGATATATATTGTTTTTGGTCTGTGGGGACTGTTACCATAAATTATTTCTTTACCTGAGAACACTTCATGTACACTGAAGCTTTTTTTTTTAATATACATTTTTTTTTTTTGGGCAGAACAATGTTTTCTTGTATTTTTTTTTGTTTGTATGGTGACTATGACATCTTCCTTTTGAGTATTTTTTTTATGTGATCATGAAACGAAAGGCTGGATAAAATAAACTTGGAATGTCTGGCCCAACAAATGTTCGTATAACTCCCAAAAAATACTTTTGGTTGTATATTGATGTAAATAATAAGGTATGAGTTCATGTTTCATGGTGATTGTCTTTATTTTCCCTGATGGCTGCTATAATATATGGAATTACCAGAATTGTACTGTATTAAATAAATCTAAAGCCATTTTGTTCTGTTTATATCTGGTGTGTGTGCGCTTTTACTGTGCATCAGTATGGTGAGCTAATTTACATATTGGAATAAAATTTATAATACCACTGTTTTAGAGGAACACTGCCATCCCACAGCAATCTTATCTCAATCAAGTTGTAACTGAGGCAGGAGTTAAACTGTTTTTCAGTGGTTTAACCCTGTATTTGTTCCCAAACAGCTTTCTCCTGGCCTGCCTTCCACTCTAGGAAGGTGCTTTGTGGCCGAAACCAACACACTTAGCCCACCACTGGCCGCCTATTGAGAGTGGTAGTACTTACAATTGCTGACACCAGGCGTATCTTTCTGGTGTGGATTGGAGCCGGGTGGAAGGAAGAAAGGTGGCAGAGCTGCAAATGTTTAAATTTTTGGAAAACGGATTAACCCCTGAAGTTAGGATGGCATCCAGACACCCCTGCCCCCCATGACAACCTGATTTAGAAAACGTTTTTATGGGGTGTAAGTATTTCTTTAAGCAGTTATGAAGATCGAAGTTGTACAGAAAGGATACAAGTGCATGAGCCGTGATGAGTGCAATAATGAGTTATTGTGACACATTAAAGAAACACTAAAGGGTCAGGAACACAAACCTGTATTCCTCACCTTATAGCGTTAAAACCACCATCTAGCCCTCCTGGCCTCAACTTGCCACCATAAATATAGCAAAATCTTGCTTTTAATGTAGTCTGCTGCTGCTGGCTCTGCCCCTGATCTGCAAGCTTGGCTGGCCTAATCAGAAGTTTTGTTCTGAGCCAATCACAATGCTTTCCTATAGTAAAGCATTGGATTGTCTGAGACTGTCAAGGGGGCAGAACAGCACAAGCCAAACACAGCCCTTGCCAATCAATGCAGTTCTATGAAGAAAGTTTAGTGTCTCCATGCAGAGGATGGAGACTCTGAATGTCAGTCAGACTGTGCAGCACTGCCCCAGGAAGCACATTTAGCAGCCATCTGAGGAGTGACCAGTGGAGATATCCCTAGCTGAAATGTAAACACTGCATTTTCTCCGAAAAGACAGTGTTTACAGCAAAAAGCCTGAAGGTTATAATTGGGTTGCATAGGACTATGTAACTAATGTTACATAAATCAGACCACTAAAGAATCCATGTCTTCTAAACTAAGATATGTTCAGAGTGTAACTGCAGATAGCGTGTGTTCCTTCTTATAGATCTTCAAGATCAGGTGGTTCCTCTTAGGTGGATCTATTGGTGATGGATCTGGTCTCAGAAGGTCCAACTTGTATTAGTGACTTTTTAATTTTAGTTAATACAAGACTGAACTGACAACAAGCCGAAGTGTGCCTAAAAGAGCCATTTATTATAATGCACTAAAGGGGTATTGACCTGGAGAAAACATTTTCTCTTTAATCCGTTGGAAGATGGTACTAGGAAAAGCAGTGCAATTTTGGACAGATGTTCTCCAAAAACAAACTCTGGAAGAGGAAACATTACAGAAGCAAAAGGTAAAAATATAACTGTAAGCACCAATGGAGGTATATGAGCCTGGAGACAGTACATGAGCATATATTGCAGGAAGGAATTAAGATAGGTTTATACACGTAATAGAATAGTTTTTTTTTTTTTTAAACGGTCACATAATCCAATATGGCTGCAGAACACATAACATACAGTCATGGGGGGAGGGGGAAAGCACACCCTCTTTAAATTCTATAGTTTTACATATCAGGACAAAATAACAATCGTGCCTTAGCAGGTTAAAAATGCTTTTAGCCATTTACCTGAATCCAACGCCGATGTCCCTCGGGGCAGGGTCAGGCTCTGCCCGTGCTCCTCCCCGCCGACATCAGCCGGTGGGGGAGACCTAATGCGCGTCAAAGGCCGCGTGCGCATTAGACCTCCCCATAGGAAAGCATTTTTCAATGTTTTCCTATGGGGGGAGATATGATGCTGGAGTCCATTTGGATTCCTGAAGCCCTCTAGTTGAGGGCAGACTTAGAGCTGCAATGTTTTACATTGCAGCATTAAGTGCAAAAGGGTCACAGCATCCAGACTACTTCAATTAAAGGACCACTATAGTGCCCTGAGGATGCCCCCACCCTCAGGGTCCCCCTCCCGCCGGGCTCTGGGGAGAGGAAAGGGTTAAAACTTACCTTTTTTTCCAGTGCCGGGTGGGGATTTCTCCTCCTCCTCCTCCTCCTCCTCTTCGGCTGAATGCGCATGCGCGGCAGGAGCTGCGCGCGCATTCAGCCGGTCTCATAGGAAAGCATTAACAATGCTTTCCTATGGACGCTGGCGTCTTCTCACTGTGATTTTCACAGTGAGAAGCACGCAAACGCCTCTAGCTGCTGCCAATGAGACAGCCACTAGAGGAGTTGGAGGCTGGATTAACCCATTTATAAACATAGCAGTTTCCCTGAAACTGCTATGTTTATTAAAAAAAGGGTTAATCCTAGAGGGACCTGGCACCCAGACCCCCTCATTAAAGGACCACTATAGTGCCAGGAAAACATACTCGTTTTCCTGGCACTATAGTGCCTTGAGGGTGCCCCCACCCTCAGGGTCCCCCTCCCGCCCGGCTCTGGAAGGGGGAAAGGGTTAAAAACTTACCTTTTTCCAGCGCTGGGCGGAGAGCTCTCCTCCTCCAATCCTCCTCTTCTCCTCCTCCTGGGCTGAATGCGCACGCGCGGCAAGAGCTGCGCGCGCATTCAGCCCGTCGCATAGGAAAGCATTTACAAGTGAAAATCACAGTGAGAAGCACGCAAGCGCCTCTAGTGGCTGTCAATGAGACAGCCACTAGAGGATTAGGGGGAAGGCTTAACCCATTCATAAACATAGCAGTTTCTCTGAAACTGCTATGTTTATGAAAAAATGGGTTAACCCTAGAAGGACCTGGCACCCAGACCACTTCATTAAGCTGAAGTGGTCTGGGTGCCTAGAGTGGTCCTTTAAGCTGAAGTGGTCTGGGTGCCTACAATGTCCCTTTAATTGATCATCAAGTGAGACCACCTCTATAAAAGCCAAAGTTTTAGCAGTTTACTGGTCTGGGACATTCAGGTGTGTGTTAACACAATGCCAAGGAGAAAAGACATCAGCAATGTTCTACGATATAGTTTATCAATCTGTATGAGATTTTACATCATTAGTCATGTAGACAAATATCGGCTTCACAGTGTAAATAGCAAAACAAACCATGTTTATCAGCACACTGCTTTTAAAGAGTTGTAATATAGCCGTTTTTATTTTAAAGTTATTTGAAAAATACACAGTAATGTTTTTGCATATTTTAAAATGGCTGCCAAACCACATGACTTATTTACTTCTCTTGAATAAATTCACAGATTTTACTATTACCATGACGTAAAGTCATGATTTTATTAAGACACGGAGGCGAGTATTATGCTGCACTCTTTCTTTATTTCCCTCAGCAGCAAAGAATTTATTTTTCAAAACATAATCAGTACATAACATTAAAGTGTGAGAGTAGTATCTCCTTAGCAACAGAAACAGCCAATCAGGTTCCTGTCTCCAGCATAATCGGCTCTGACAATCAATCCTATTCCTCTTTATTTGCGATCCCAAATAACAATAATCATCCAACCGAAAAAGGGGTTGCGTACAAAGGGAATATCCGTAACGATATAAAGTAGATTAGGCTGTAAAATAGGAAAGATATGGTAATATTCTAGTATAAAACTGGGTGTATGCATGAATCACAGGTCATTGTGGACAGAATTGAATTATTTTAAGCCATTGTGGTTAACTTTTAAGGATTGAGAAACATAAGAGGAAAAAACTCCATGATACCAGAACTTACCGTGAAATCAACTTATCCTTATTCCCTCCCTTGTGGTTAAGATCAAGTAATGACAAACATAGCATGAAGAGAAAACTCCATAATATCAGGACTTACCGTGAAATCAACTTACCCATATTCCATCCTTCTTCGGGATGGGAGGGAGGGATAATACTCGCCTCCGTGTCGTTAATAAAATCATGACTTTACGTCATGGTAATTGTAAAATCTGTGAATTTTATTAACACACGGAGGCTCCTATTATGTTGGTTTAAAGCTGGGAGACTACCGTTCCTGCAAAGTGTTGAATGGGTTTAAAGTAAAAATCATGAAAGGTAGATTCTGAGGACCGATCGGCCGCCTTCAAAATGTCTTCAAGTCGACAACCAATCGAAGAGGCTTTGGAAGCCATCGCTCCTCGTACAGAGTGAGGTGAGAATAGTGAGGAGTCAATGCCCGCTAAGGATATAATCCATTTAACCCAGCGAGCCAGGGTAGGAGTAGACACTGGTAGGTGTGGTTTTTGGAAGGAAACGAAGAGTTCGTGATTCGTTATGTCTCGTAGTGCGGAGGTGCGAAGTTCGTAAGTTTGTAAGCATTTGACCGGGCATAAGAGCGGCCTGTTAGGAAACGCTGGGTATGACACTCTCCTTGATGACGTCTTTGTTCTTCGAGATATATCGAAAGTGACCCCTTCCGCAGTGATGTCCAAAGCTCTGACATCGGAAACCCTCTTGCAGGATATGAGGCAAAAGAGCATAACTAGCAGACAGCTGTTTCAGGGATAGAAATGCATTGTCTGGCCATGATTCTAGAAAACTGAGGATGATGGAAACGTCCCATAGTACCGAATATCGTGGTAGAGGGGGACGTGCAAATTTGATGCCGCGTAAGAGTCTAAATACCAGCGGGTAGCGTCCTATCGGGATTCCATCTAAACCTTAGTGTGTAGCCGAAATGGCCGATCGGTACAGGTTCACTGTACGGTAGGTTTTGCCAACTTCAAACAATGAAGTTAGGAATTGGAGGATCGAAGTCAGAGGAGCCGATATGGGATCCAAATCTCGTTCCAGGCACCAATCACGCCATCTGTTCCATGAAGACTTATAAGCCTGTCTCGTGCCGGGTGCCCATGTGCCCTCGAGAAGGTGGAGAGTTGATTCCGAAACTCCCTTGATTGCCCGAAGTCCCCTGAAATCATCCACACTGTGAGATGTAAAAGGCCTTGTTGTATCAGGGGATGAGGGGATCTATCCGGGTCCTGAAGCAGGTACTCGAAGTGTGGGAGAATGCGAGGTATGTCTAACGCCATCTCTAAGAGGGGGGAGAACCATGGTTGGGAGGGCCATAACGGTGTCACAATCACCAGAGTGATTGGCAATCAGAGTCTGCAGTCAGCAGAGTTATCAAATTCAATTGGAGAGCAGAATATGTCGTCAGACGCACCTGGAGGTGCCTTACAGCCCCCCTTGATTGGAGGTATGAGACCCAGAGGGGGTGTGAGCATCCTTGTCAGCAGGCATAGTGATTATGCTATTAAGCTGATAGGAGTAATAAAAATGAAAAAGGTACTCACAGTGTTTAGGAAGCAATATAGGAGCACTAGTAACGGAAGAAATAGAGAGCCGTCCGACTGTTTTTAACACTAAGCCCCAACTCCTAGTATTGGCCGTTGGAGGCAGTGTTACATGCAAAGCTCGGGAAACCAATAATATGGCCGCTGCAAACAGCGACAATCCCGAAAGTGTTTGTTAGAACCAGCGCTGGAGACAGTGAAATGGCCGAACACACAAGGTCGGGTGCCCAAAGCCTTCGTGATACAATCTCACGAACGCCGCGGTAGAAGATAGGCGAACAGCCTCACTGAATGCAGCGCGCGCCTGCATTCAGTGAATGGCGGTCGGACGGGACAGAGGAGGAAATGGCGCAAAATCGCCGTGACAGTGCAATATGAGTTCCAGCAGACGTCCCCGAGCTCGATATTAAAGCACTGGGCTCAGGGAGTCAAAGTTGGAGGAAGCCGTGAGGGGAAAAGACTGTAATGAATCAATATAAAACCAAAAAAAAGGGAAAACTTTACATGACAGGGTGGAAATCAGAGAGGAGAAAGATAAATAATACAGATATGTAAAATCAGACATCCATTAACTAATAGGAATAAACAATCATAAGTAATAATTATAGCACTGATTACAATAAAATAGCATTAATGATAATTACAAGACAGATATAAAATTATCGCCCCACAGTTAAGGAACCGTGGGATCTGATGTTACTTAACTGAGGGAGCAGCAAAGAAAGAGGAATAGGATGGATTGTCAGAGCCTATTATGCTGGAGAGAGGAACCTGATTGGCTGTTCCTGTTGCTAAGTAGATACTACTCTCATACTGTTAATGTTATGTACTGGTTAAATTCACAATGCTTTAAGAATTTAAAACTTGGCTCAAATTCAGTATAGCCCCTTGAACCCCATATTACCATTTGTATTTAGGTTAAATTGTTTAATAGTTATTACGAATCCACATTTATGTAAATGAGGAAGATGACTTTCTTGTTTTGGTGGACTTGAGTGCCAAATATTGTATTGTTTTGACAAACTAGGTCAAAGAATTTTACGCAATCCAATGTGGCTCACTAATCTGCTTCTGTTGAATAAATAAGAATCAAAATCACAAAAAAAAAAACCTCTCACAGCAATTTGTACATACCATAAATTATTCTGGTGAAAAAGGTTTGAATATTATGTGGAATTGGTTACCAATAACACTGGGACAAAATTTCAGAAAAAGGCAGAGCAGCCCACTAGGAGCGGAGCCAAACATGGGGTTGTTATGTCATCACCAATGACAAGCACGCCTACCCCCCTCCCTAATAATCAGTATGTTGGTGTAATGCCCATCCAGAGCATTCAGTCTTCTGAGGTGGAGTAAATGTCCTGTATTTTTTTCCCCTGCCCAATGCAAGCATGCGCTGCGTTCACCACTAACTTATCTCTGGTGTCCCCAATAGTGGGATACCAGAGAATAAAAGAGGATCAAGGCTGTTGTGAAAGTGTGGGGTGCTCCCTGAGGTGTTGTATGTGTTTGGATGTTGCTTGTGTGCTTGCATGTTTGTAGAAGAGACTGTGTTGTGTTGTAGTGTGTGTGTGTGTGTGTGTGTGTAAAGGGGTTTGTGTGTGGTGTCCTATGTGTGGCTAGGGGCTGTAGTGTGTGTTTCCAGGATGTAAAGTATATGTGTGTGCTTGTTTATAGGGCCTTTAGAGTGTGTGTGTGCCTGTATAGTGTGTGTATCTAGGGGCAGCGGGAGGTTGCATTGTATGTGTATCTCGGGGCTTTAGTATGTGTTTACTTATAGGGGTTGTACTGCACGTGTGTGTCTAGGGGTGTAGAGTACTTATTTTATAGGTGGTACAGACAATGGTGTATTTTGGATCTGTGCTGCCCTAGACATGACTGAACTCGCACACCCTAATTTACATTTGCTCCACCCCTTCCTGTCCATGCCACCACTCTACCTGTTAAAGACTAACACACACACTTTGACTGACAGACACACACTCTCAGATAACCTGGCACACATTGATTTGACACAATCTGACAGACACACACAATCACTGACATACACACACAATGATGCAAACACACTCACTCACTGAAAGACACACACACTGACAGGCATACACAATCACTCAGACACACACACATTCACTGACAGACACTCACTCACTCACAGATACATACTGACAGACACACACAATCACTAAGACACACAGGCTCCCTCACAGACACACACACTCACAGACACACTTACAGACAGACACACACAGACACACAGGTGCCCTCACAGACACACACAATAACTCAGACACACAGGCTCCCTCACAGACACACACTTAGAGACATACTCACTCTCACTCACAGATACACAATCACTCAGACACACACTGACAGACATACACTCACTCACTCACAGACACACACTGACAGACACACACACAAACTGCCAGCCAGCCAGACACACACACACACACACCCAACACTCACAGATTATTTTTTAATTTAAATCCACCCAGCCTCTCTACCTTTGGGAGAGATGGGTAGATTTTTTTTACCTGGGGTCCAGTAGGGCTGCTTGGGCAGGGAGGGAGGCAGGCAGTTGGGCAGTTTGCTGAATTCCAAGGCGGGCGGCGAGGGAGCCCTGATTTGTGAGCTCTCTCTCTGCTCAGCTCAATATGACGTCATATTCCAGCTCCCGGCATCACTCTGCGGTGCGCGAGGGAGCTGAGCAGAGAGAGCTCACAAATCAGCGCTCCCTCACCGCCCTCCTTGGAACTCAGCTAGCCATCTGTCACCAGGCTAACAAGGTATTTGCCTGGGCATTTGGGGGCAGCGTTTTTTGCCGCCCCCTGGAAAGTGCCGCCCAAGGCAAATGCCTTGTTTGCCTCATGGCAAATACATTGCTGGGTACAGATATGCAGTGTATTTGTGTGTGTTCATAGGGTGTAGGATAGGGATGTAAATAATTAATTTAAATAATTCTAAAAAAGCAAAACACACATTTACTCGCCCTCCCTCTTATTACCTTGCAGTGGGAGAGGGGGCTAGTTATTTGGTCTGTACCTCTGTAGGGTACAGACCATGTCTTCTCCTTTGAGCTCGCGAGAGGGAAAGACTGAGGCTGCCTGAGGACTGGTAATTTAACGACTGTCCCCGGCGTTGGTTGATAGGAATTCTGCATCCATGATGCAAATTGGACACGGGTAGATGGGCCCTGTGGGCAAGTTTTTTTAAATTAGTTTTATTGGATTGAGGGGCACTTGAAAATTCTGTGCCAACAGGTGTTTATGATGTAAATCAGCCCCTAACATAGAAGAACAGCGGAAGCGCTCTTTTCATGGTCCTAGTGCCCACTGCACAACACCGGTCTGTCTAATGCTCTCATGTGACACCGCCTTTGGAATAAATTTGTGACAGTGGGACAGGACCCTAAAATAGGGACTGTCCCACTGAACTGCTCTACATTTGGGACTGCTTTACAGGACCTTGAACTCGTGACCTTTTTTGGTGTTTTGGATGAGGCCACACATTGTGCACATCGTTAGTGACATGGTTCACATCAATGGAGATGCCCCCACCAGTCCTGATTTCAAGAGGACCAATGTTGGGAGGTATGCTTCAAGCCCCCCAACATTTCAAATGGATAAAGACTTTAATGTTAAGGGGGGTGTTGCTGGCGGTGTGACCAGGGGCAGGGCTGTTATGAGACATTTTAGGTGACTTACTAATTTCTGCAGCTAAAATGTAATTTAGAACAAAACCAATGTATGTTATTTACACATTTTATTTATTTTAATTTAAATACACATTACTGGGAGTATTATTGCTATGAAGCTCTGTTATACACAACAACAAAAGAGGGACAGAGGCAAATGAGTGCAATATAGAGACTGTCCCTCCTATATAGGGACACTTGGGAGGTATGCTATTTTTGGTAAAGCTTTTCCGGGGTCATTGCCACAAGCAATATGGCGGCTGACATGAACCTGGAAGGACCCTTTTAGCTGTCCTAGCTAATTCCTGGCAGGCAGTGGCAGTGTTTTATCTGACCGTCCCCACTCGCACGCTGAGGTGATATGATCGCGGTAAATTCATTAAATTGCCGTTTCTCCGTGTCAGTTCCCAGCAGGCATCTCCCAAGCCGCCTCTCCAGAGCGAGGACCCCGCTCAGCCATGTCGCCAGGCTCGCGGTCTCCGCCGAGGAACAGCCGTGTCGGTAAAAAGAAAAAGAGGAGAAACAGCGACGACAGCAGCAGCAGCAGCAGCAGCAGCAGCTCGGCCTCGTCCGACAGCTCGGACAGTGATCGCAGGACATCCCGGGATTGCAGGTGGAAAGAGCGGAACCGGGCGGACAGTCCGGGGAGGGACACTTACCGGAGAGGGAACCGTGCGGACAGTCCGGGGAGGGACACTTACCGGAGAGGGAACCGGTGTAACAGCCCTTACCGGGCACCGAGTGGTAACTGGTCTAATACCCGGGAGAACAAAGCACTGAGAGGCAACCGGTCTAATAGCCGTGATAGAGCATCCAGAAAGAACTGGTCGCCTAACAGGGAAGACAGAGAACCGAGAGGGAACCGGTCTAATAGCCGGGAGAACAGGGCACCGAGACGGAACCGGTCTAATAGCCCGAAGAACAGGGCACCGAGAGGGAACCGGTCTAATAGCCGGGAGAACAGGGCACCGAGAGGGAACCGGTCTAATAGCCGGGAGAACAGGGCACCGAGACGGAACCGGTCTAATAGCCGGGAGAACAGGGCACCGAGAGGGAACCGGTCTAATAGCCGGGAGAACAGGGCACCGAGACGGAACCGGTCTAATAGCCGGGAAAACAGGGCACAGAGAGGGAACCGGTCTAATAGCCGTGATAGAGCACCCAGAAAGAACCGGTCGCCTAACAGGGAAGACAGAGAACCGAGACGGAACCGGTCTAATAGCCATGACAGAGCACAGAGAGGGAACCGGTCTAATAGCCGGGAGAACAGGGCACCGAGAGGAAAGAGGTCTAATAGCCGTGACAGAACATCGAGAGGACGTCGGTCTCACAGCCGGGAGAACAGGGCACCGAGAGGGAACCGGTCGCCTAACAGGGAGGACAGAGCACCGAGAGGGAACCGGTCTAATAGCCGTGACAGAGCACCGAGAGGTAACCGGTCGCCTAACAGGGTGGATAAACCACAGAGAGGACACCGGTCCGGTAGCAGTGAAAACAGGGCACCTAGGAGACACTGGGAGGATAAAGCACCGGGCAGGAGGCGTTCTGGTAGTAGGGAGAAAAAAGCCCCAATAGGATACCAGTCCGGTAGCCGAGAGGGGAAGGTACCAGACAGGAGGCAGTCTGGTAGCCTAGAGAAGAAGGTACCGGGCAGGAGTCGGTCCTGTAGCAGTGAGAAGGCCCCGAGAGGGTACCGGTCCGGAAGTAGCGAGGAGAAGGCAAGGCGGACATATCGGTCCGGTAGCCGGGAGGAGAAGGTAACAGACAGAAGCCGGTCCGGTAGCCGGGAGAAGGTGGTACCGGGCAGGAGGCGGTCCTGTAGCAGTGAGAAGGCCCCGAGAGGGTACCGGTCTGGTAATAGCGAGGAGAAGGCAAGGAGGACATATCGGTCCAGTAGCCGGGAGGAAAAGGTTCCAGGCAGGAGGCGGTCCTGTAGCAGTGAGGAGAAGGTCCCGGGCAGGAGGCGGTCCTGTAGCAGTGAGGAGAAGGTTCCGGGCAGGAGGCGGTCCTGTAGCAGTGAGGAGAAGGTTCCGGGCAGGAGGCGGTCCTGTAGCAGTGAGGAGAAGGTTCCGGGCAGGAGGCGGTCCTGTAGCAGTGAGGAGAAGGTTCCGGGCAGGAGGGGGTCCTGCAGCAGTGAGGAGAAGGTTCCGGGCAGGAGGGGGTCCTGTAGCAGTGAGGAGAAGGACCCGAGAGGGTACCGGTCCGGTAGCAACGAGGAGAAGGTACCGAGACAGTACAGGTCTGTTAGCCGGGAGGAGAAGGTACCGAGACAGTACCGGTCCGGTAGCAGAGAAGGCAGAGTACCGAGCAGTGAGGAGAGGCGGCCGCCAAGCTCAGAGAGTGATGGCAGTCCAGGGAGGAGGGAGCACCAGACTCGGTCCAGTAGTCAGGAAAGCTCCGGGAGAAGACAGAGGAGAGGCCGCAGATCCAGGTAAACACAGACATGGAGGGAAATAATCATAACATGTAAATACCATTGTTAATATTATTAATGCACACAGGTAAATGCCAATATTGTTATTATTGCACCCAGCCTGGTATTTGGGTTTGGTGGTTTATGCAGGCATACAGCCATTCTCCATAACCAAGTGTCTTTATTTGAGAGGGATAGTCCCTATTTTGGGTCCTTTTTTCTAGGAGCTCCATATTGTTAAAAGGATACATTGTTCGTGTTCTATATTACATTGCAGTTGCAAAAATAGTTATTAGTGAGTCACCTAAAACTTCTCACCTGTCCATATCCCCAATCACACCACTAAAATTAAAGTGTCCCTCTTTGTCCATTAGCAGTATGTACAACACACTGATTAAGCAGTTTGGCAAGTCAGTGGTTAAGGTCTGTATTGTCCTTATGGTGCCTAAGCATCAAAGGAAATGAACTCCAACACAATCTGAAAGCCAAGCTATCTCCGTTATAACACATTGTTAGGTGAGATCTAGTTCTTAATTGTTCAGGTGGTGGTGGTGGTGTTATTATTAGCATTTATATAGTGCCAACTGTCTCCACAGCGTTTTACTATGCTATAAAGATTATGAATTAAACAATTGGATTATCATACGAAGTAGCGAATACAAAAGTAACATTTTTATTTTTTGTTACACTGCTACTTTTGTCTAAAAGCATGTCTTTAATTACATATTTGTTGCAAGAAGAACTACTAAGAGGAATTCAGATATGCCAACCGTGTCACATCCAGATGCTCTATCGGATTGTAATATAAAGAAAATTAATCCATGCATTTCTAACTTGGTTTAAACTTGTTATTTTAGGTCAGATTCTGAAGAAAGGCAGAAACGAAAGGCACGGAGCAGAGACCGAGAACAGAGAAGGAAAAAGGAGCGCCGTTCTTCATCTCCTTCCGAGGATGAAGCCACCAAGAAAACGCAAAGAAAGAAGAGAGTAAAAAGGTCCAGGTCAAGGTGCTCTGTGTCGTCGGTCACATCTCCATCGCCAGCAAGGTCACAGGAGTCATGCGTTAGCCTCCAGGAGCGTATAAAGCAAAAAGAGGATAAGAAAAATAAAGAAGAGATGATGAAAGCTATGGAAACCCCAGAGGAAAAGCGAGCCAGACGTTTGGCAAAGAAAGAAGCAAAGGAGAGGAAGAAAAGAGAGAAGATGGGCTGGGGGGAAGAGTACATGGGATACACTAATACAGACAACCCATTTGGAGATAATAATCTTTTGGGCACCTTCATCTGGAACAAGGTTAGCTATATCACTTTTGATTTATCAATAGTATCTGCTTCCCTACCTACACTGTTGGGAGCTATAGTGCTAGGAAAACATGTTTTCTTAGCACTATAGTAGGGGTGCCCAAAAAGTAGATCCCCAGACATGGAACTACAACTCCCATGATGCTTTGAATGCCTTATGAATGGCAAAGAATCATGAAAGCTGTAGTTTTTTAAAACATCTGGGGGATCTACCTTTTTTGCACCCCTGCACTCTAGTTTCCCTTTAAATCTCAATGTGTAAAGGACATCTTCCCACTTTCAACTTTGTGTGTGTGTGTGTGTGTGTGTGTGTGTGTATGTGTATGTGTGTATATATATATATATATATATATATATATATCTCTCATAAAACTGGCCTTGTCTCGGTCCTCGTTTGGGTTATCTATAAAATGTGGACCACTGCAGTTCACAGAGGACGTATTTGTGTCGTGCTGCTTTTAAACAAATTGAAAAATAGACAACATAAAGGAAAACTTCATGCTCCATAGCCACTATAGCCCGTTGTAATGGTTATGGTGCCAGGAGGGCCATGGCGCTCTCGGAGGGTGAATAGTCAAGCTGTTTAACAATGAGGGTTTAACAATTTACAGGTTGTCCATCTGACACCTGTAATGGCACTTTTTGTGTATTCGCCAGTGACTAATTATTCACCAAGAAAATTTATTCTTCTCTTTTCTGCAGGCGCTAGAGAAGAAGGGAATTGGACACCTTACAGAAAAGGATCTTAAGGATAGGAATAAATCGATCCAAGAAGACAATCGCTTAGAGCTGCAGAAGGTATTAAGATGTAATCCAGAATGCAGACAGTGCATTAGATGCACTGTATTAAGTGTACTACACTCCATTAGTTATTTTTTTTTGTGGTGTCTAATGTTCTGCGTTTGCTAGACCTGAAGTATGATTACTTTGTCTTTTGTTTAATTTTAAGGTCAAACAACTTCGTCTGGAGCGTGAGCGAGAGAAGGGCATGCGAGAGCAGGAATTGGAGATGTTGCAGAGAGAAAAGGAGGCCGAACATTTTAAGACTTGGGAAGAACAAGAAGATACATTTCATCTACAACAAGCCAAACTGCGGTATGAACATGGATGTTGCGTGTGTGTAATTGCTATAGTCTGTTTCATTATTTTAGGGTATTGAAGTACTTTTAAGCTTTTTAGAAAACAAGTGCAGCCAGATAGGCACAATTTTATTTATATTTTTTTCCTCTTTATTTCTTCATTAGTGGCATGAAAGCATTCTTCACAGTAATGGCCTCTAAATTTCCTGTGATTAACGTTTCGTTGCATTATCATGCCTTTCAATCACAGGAATGTTATAGTGCCTCTGTCCCTACTTCAATATAGGTCTACCCCCCAAAAACAAATTATATTACAGTTTTACTTGCCTTTTTTTCAGCACTGACACTTTTTATGCGCTGCTCACCTCCCTTAATGTCGGTGAGAAGGAATGGCCTTTGTCACGGCAAGGGTGTATAATTTATTATTACACTATGGAATATCATCTTTTAATGTAATTTGTGTAGAAAATGTCACAAATTACAGAGATGCTATTGCTGAGGTCAACAGGGGTTACATCTTTTGAAGCTGGGACCCCCACAGAGGTCAGATGACAGAAGGGGTAGTGTGAATGGCATAGCAATGTGAAAAGGATTTTACTATATGGATGTGAAGTAATCCATGATCTGCAAGGTGTGAGGTTCTACACTTGGAAAAAGTCTGAATGTCTCTTCATCCATTTGGCATGTACCTTGTAAAGGATAGTTCAATCATTTGAAATGGTAATGGGATTTGTTTCATGAAGATCCTTGTGTTACAGTATCTTATCCAAGTGAAACATTCATACTTACCCACAGATTAATAATTAAGCCTCATTTTTATTATATTTGGAATGGGACAAGCCCAATCTTTTAATTAAGCCCAAACCTGAGTTGCACAACTTTAAACCGTGTGGCAGGACTTGTGATGTCTGTCGTATTGGATCGTGGGTGGGGCGTGCAACATGTCTTTGGAATGGGAAAACAATAACAAATTCATAGAGGCAATTATTATTTCTGTGGCAAGTACAGTAGAGGAGATAAAACCAAAAGTTTGTATGTGGGTTGTTGGTTTCTGGAACAAAGGAGGTGGTCACTTAGTATCCACCCCTGGATGAGGCGTGTCAATTCACAGGGTATATCTCCTGTGATTCTGAAGGGTGTTTGTGTACTTGCTTGGGTCCAAGATTTAATTTTGAGTGAGTCACCATCTTTCCTTGCCAGAGACCCCCTGGACAGAAGTTGTACTTTGAAAAAACCTAAGTGAGTAATTAGGACTTCTGTGTTTTATCCTTTTTGTTTTTACTTGTTGTTGGTGTAAATAATTTGTTTATCATATATTGTTATATGCACTGTGACTATCTTTTGCTCATAATAAATATTCATTTATTAAGTTTTGCCTTTGTCTGGTTAAGAATCACGTTACCTGAAGAGATTAGTTAGTATTTTTGTAATTCCTTGAATATTGTACTAAGTAATATTTGGTGGGTTTTATTGTTGATTTACCTGGGGGACCAATGCACCCCATTTATAAATTGTCTTGGTGGTGGCAGCGTTAAATAGTTATATTATTATGTCTAAGTGTCGGTGGTGTTAAAGGGGGATTTTGTCATTATTTCCGGTCTAGTGCAGACAAATAGTGAACTTTAACCCTTTCACAACCACAACTACGTCACGCGCACTCTTGGAGTAGGGTGTGTTCGTGACAGCCTTCTCTGGCAATAGTCATAGAGGGGCACTGGAGACCTGATGCGCATGCGCTGCGAGGGTCACACGCACAGCCAAACTTTCCCATAGGAAAGCATTGTATTCACTCGGTCAGTGCAGTCAGAAGTGCATAATGGCAGCCACTAGAGGTGTAGTTAAAGGACCACTATAGTGCCAGGAAAACATACTCGTTTTCCTGGCACTATAGTGCCCTGAGGGTGCCCTCACCCTCAGGGACCCCCTCCCGCCCGGCTCTGGAAAGGGGGAAAGGGGTTAAAACTTACCTTTTTCCAGCGCTGGGCGGAGAGCTCTCCTCCTCCGTTCCTCCCCATCGGCTGAATGCGCACGTGCGGCAAGAGCTGCGCGCGCATTCAGCCGGTCGCATAGGAAAGCATTCTCAATGCTTTCCTATGGACGCTGGCGTGCTCTCACTGTGAAAATCACAGTGAGAAGCACGCAAGCGCCTCTAGTGGCTGTCAATGAGACAGCCACTAGAGGAAATAGGGAAAGGCTTAACCCATTCATAAACATAGCAGTTTCTCTGAAACTGCTATGTTTATGAAAAAATGGGTTAACCCTAGCTGGACCTGGCACCCAGACCACTTCATTAAGCTGAAGTGATCTGGGTGCCTAGAGTGGTCCTTTAACCCTGCAGTGTAAACACTACTGTTTTTTTCAAAATGTTTTTTATTTATTTTTTATTGCAAGGTTAAAAGGGCAGGGCCACTGCATCTAGACCACTTCATTGAGATACTATAGTGGTAATTTAATCTGATTATTTAGATTTTGATCATGACCTTTTTTCTTTTTAATCATCTCTTCATCTTGTAGCTTATTAAACATTTCTCAGCCTTTGTCGCATATTAGCGTCTCTTCTCAGCAATGACTTGTCATTATCTTGCTTTTGAACAAGCTATTCCGTGCAAGTACTGTACTAAAACAAAACAATGTGTCCGCAGAGGGTGCCATTGATTTAAAAAAAAAATGTTAGACATTTGACAAAAACACAAACTAAGTTAAAAAGATATGAAGGACATAGCATCCCTAGAAGCAAACATGATTGTGTAGCATGTACTTCATTTATATACTGTATACCCAGTCACATGCCATCCTTTATGAAAGGGATATATAATCTAACCCATCACAACCAGCAAGTGTGACTCTTCACAAAATCAAAGAGTAAAAAGGAGCCTGAGGATCAAACTCCATGGGCAAAGTCATAGCTCAGGATTTTTAACATCATTGTATTTTCGTTTATTAGTTCCAAGATCCGCATCCGAGATGGCCGTGCAAAACCCATTGACCTTCTGGCAAAATACATCAGCGCAGAAGACGACGACTTGGCTGTGGAAATGCATGAACCTTACACTTTCTTGACTGGACTCACTGTGTCTGACCTGGAAGACTTGCTGGAAGATATTCAGGTGTGTGCCACAGTACTCGCAGTAGGAATAACATTTATTTTAATATAGCAATAATGAAACTGTCAAAATAACCTTTGCAATGTGTGTGATGCCATCGTCATGCATTCCAAGTCGGAAATTTACCCGTCTTGTTTTGCTTTTCCCCCCTTCTCTTCTGCTCAGTTTTGCTTATTTTCATTTTATACATTTTATAAAACAAAAATCGTGTATTTAGATATCCTTTTTTTTAAATTTTGTTGTTCTTATATTTTGGACTGTGAAGAGTACTGTTTAACTACCATTATTAGAAAGCAATACGGCCTTTGCATCTTTCATTTTATTGTGCTTTCTTTATTGCCTTTTTGCTCTTTAGATCTACATGGAATTGGAGCAGGGGAAGAATGTGGATTTTTGGAGAGATATGACCATCATCACAGAGGATGAAATCTCCAAGTTACGCAAGCTGGAAACATTCGGGAAGGGACCAGGTTAGACAAAATTAGTATTTTTGTTTTGGGTAGGGCTTTGCTTATTCTAGTCGTTTGAATTAACACATGAACAAAATAACCGAATCAGAGCATTTTTTCCAAGTGGCTACTTTAGCCTAAAATTTGCAGTTTCCCTGGTCTCTGAATTGCTGGTTTAGTGAATAAACCTATGTGCATTTGGTTATGCAGTCTTCTAGTAACATGTGAAACATTTTTGGTTTGTATACGCACTATATATTCAGTTGTGAAATCTTGCAAAACTGGTGAAGTTCTAAAATATGCTATTCTGAGAACTAGCTTCTCACTCTGCTTCAAAAATAGCTGCTAATTTCTAGTATTTTGTCCTATAATGTGCAATTCTCTTTTTTGATTTTCCCACAGTGGGATGTTTTGCAAGAGTACTTGAGTGAAAGACTGTGTTTGCATATAGAAAGGTTTTTTTTAAATTGAATTGGGTATAGCATCTGTGTTTCTTAATGCAGAAGTATCTGTAAAGTGACATTTTGTGTAAATGAGAATTTGTATGTGTTGGCAGTGTGTGTGTGTTTTAATTCAGAGTTATTTTACAAACGATTTTTCCACAAATACAAGTATCTGAAGACAGTGGTGTCTAGGTATTCAGTGTTTGTTTGTGGAGCGATGCTCCCTCACTTTCAGTTTGACTTTCACCACGTGCTCATATCTTTGTGCCCCAATATCCCTCCCATCATAATACTAGAGTGTGGCTATTTCTGAATGGAGGCTGCTTGCCTGTGTTTTTGCGGCTGCTTCATAACTAAACTTGTAGAATGTGATGGAAGTGCTGCCAGTTAACCAGGGATGTGGCAATAGGAAAGACAGCACAAGAAATAATGTTCACTGGTGTAGGTTGGAAAAAGCTGTCAACTTCACGTACAGTAGGCAGGAAGGTTAAAGGGACACTATATTGCTCCAAACAACCTTAGCTTAATGAAGCAGTGTTCTATATATATTCTTTATTTTGTCATAGTATAACAATGCAATACAAGACAGACATAAAAGGAAATGTTTGCATGGACACTAGGTTGACAAATGTGGCAGCACCCGGTACATATAAGGAGCAAAGGGAGGTAATGAACAGATAGCGGTCTTCTTTAAATGTTTTCTCCCAATATATATGTGTGTATATATGTTATAAACCTCGTTTTTTTTTATCTTTGTTTTATGATAATAGCTTGTCTGCCATATATTATAGAAGTAGAGTATAATTAGGGAAGCTTAGCGAACATAGGAGACACTGATGCCGGTAATCAGGTTACATTGTTCTGATAAGGCATGGTTTCGAGTGATATCCATGCTTTTGAGTTAATGAAGCAGTTTTTGTGTATAGATCATATACAAAACCAGTTTCTCTGAAACTGCTATGTTTACATCTGAAGGGTTAAAACCTAGGGGACCCGGCACCCAGACCACTTCATTGAGCTGAAGTGGTTTGAGTGACTATAGTGTCCCTTTAACTTATTTTGTGTTTTTGTCACTGCTCAATTCTCTGCCGTTTAGGAGTTAAATCGCTTTTGTTTTTGTCAATGCAACCCTAGCCACACCTCCCCTAGCTGTGACTGACACAGCCTGCATGGAAAAAATGGTTTCATTTTCAATCAGATGTAAATTTATATTAAAATGTTTTATCTCCTGCTCTGTAAATTGAACTTTAATTACATACAGGAGGGTCCTGCAGGGTCTAGCAAGCTATTAACAGAGAAGGAGATAAGGAATTGTAAAGGAAGCATAAACATTAGATAACTTGTTACAAGATGTTTTTAGAAAAGCTGTGTAAGTCAAATGCAGGGAGGTGTGACTAGGGTTCATAAACAACGTGATTTAACTCCTAAATGCCAGAGATTTGAGCAGTGAGACTGCAGGAGCATGATCTATACACAAAAACTGCTTCATTAAGCTAAAGTTGTTTTGGTGACTATAGTGTCCCTTTAAGGACCTCTTCTGAGCACTTTGCTGATCATATTGCTTGTTTGAACTGAACCATAAAATGTTTATAACATCCTGTATACTGATCTCCAGTTTATATTTCTGCATTGCACAGGTGAAAGACGAGAAGGGGTAAATGCCTCTGTCACCACCGATGTACAGGCTGTATTTAAAGGCAAGACATACAACCAGCTTCAGGTGATTTTTCAAGGAATCGAAAGCAAGATTAGAAAAGGAGGACCGAACCTGGATATTGGGTATTGGGAGAGTCTCCTGCAGCAGCTTCGGGCTTACATGGCCAGAGCTAGGTAAAGAACATTTTGTGTGTTGGGACTCCCAATGCTGTCCACAAAGACAAGTTGAATGGCTTGTTAAGAATTCAGTAAAATTGGCAGACTGATTCATATTTATTTATCTTTTCGCTGATTTTTAGGCTTCGAGAGAGACACCAGGACGTCTTGCGTCAGAAACTCTTCAAACTGAAGCAAGAGCAGGGTGTGGAAAGCGAGCCTCTCTTCCCCATTATAAAACAGGAGCCTGAATCACCTAATGACAGGTACGAACCAAAAGATGTTCACAAAATTAGAGAATAGCTGCAGTTTAAAAGATTTTCAGTTTTGTGATTGACAATAAAATAAAATGTAACCTGAATACCATCTGATTCTTAAGTCAAGAATGAAAAAAAAACTAATCTCCTTCCCTGCTTTAAAAAAAAAAACAATTTGTGTGTGTGTGTGTGTGTATGTGTATATATGTATGCGTGCGTGTGTGTGTGTGTATGTATGTATGTATGTATATATATATATATATAATCTATCTATCTATATCATGTGTTAACTGGTTTGTCTTAACACTGAAACTATAACATTTGTAATTGACTATCTCATCTACTGTAAACATGTCTTCCAAGGCCAGACCAGGGAGAGTCTGCCTCAGAGCAACCTGGCTCATCCTCTGCAGCCAATGCCCCAGAGGATTCTAGCAGTGCCCAAGAAGGTGATGGCAAGGGTGAAGGTGGGGAGTCTGTACTCATGGAAGAAGACCTAATCCAGCAGAGCCTCAATGATTATGATGCTGGAAAATACAGCCCAAAGCTGCTAAGTAATCAGGAGCTGCCTTTTGATGCTCATGTAGTAGACTTTGAAGAGGACCAACAAAGACTGGTGCTCTGCAGGCAACAACTACAAGTCACAGGTATTTACTTATTGAATGTAACATTTATTTAAATGTTGTTGGTACATGCTATTAAATGTCAAATGTTGCCATGACTTAATGAATGCTTTAAAGGGACACTGTAACTGCTTCGTCTCAGCCCATCTTCCGGTGTGCTGTTAGGGCTAATGAGTAAGCCGAAGCCTGAGCAGAAGTGACTGGCTGAGAGTGACAGCTGGCAGCTCTTAGCCTATCACAGAACCCATTGCTGGGATGAATTGGTGTGTGTAATCTGGCTTGGCCACAATTCTATTGGGGGTCAGGCTGTGGGGGCCAGTGACCCTCGTTCAGTACTAAACATCATGAACATAGTTTAACACTGAATGGAATGGCCATTCAGAGGAGACCAGCACGATAACTAATTTAATGCTATGAAATAGCAGTATTAGAACTCTGATACATTCTGAGATGTTCTGAATCCATCTTGGCTCTTAGAGGGATACTATAAGTGCTAAAACAACTTTAGAGTTAGGAATACAAACACTGTAGTGATCCCTTAAAGGGACACTATAGTCGCCGGAACAACTACAGCTTAATGTAGTTGTTCTGGTGAGTATAATTATTTCCTTAAGATATTTTCATGCAAACACTGCCTTTTCAGAGAAAAGGCAGTGTTTACATTGTCCCTAGGGACACCTCCAAGTGGCCACTCCTCAGATGCCCACTGTAGATGCTTCCTGGGCAGTGCTGCAAAGTAGGCAGCACTGCTGTTCAGCGTCTCCACGCTCTGCATGGGGATGCTGACTTTTCCTCATAGAGATCCATCACTATGAGGAGGTGCTGATTGGCCAAACTGGCGTTTGGCCCCATCTCCTTGCCGATTTCAGCCAATCCAATGCTTTCCCTATGGATTGGCTAAAAAGCAGCAATGCTGATGATGTCACCAAGGAGGCGGATCGGGCGGGGCCAGCACCGGGACCCGTGCGGCTCTGGAAATAAGGGGAGTTTCCTGTCCCTATAGTGTTCCTTTATCCCCTTAAGGACTGCTGACGGTTCAGGATCGTCATCTTAAAAATCCCCTTGAGGACTGATAACGGTCCTGAACCATCAGAACGGTAATATTTCTGGGGGGACTACCTGACAGCCCAGGCCGTCCACCCTTGGCGAATTAGGCCCCCGCAGCCATGTGATCTCGAACAGAGCGGTTACGTCGCCTCAATAGGCATCCGTGTATCTGCCTGCAGGGGCACTGCCTGAACTGACAGGCAGTCTCCCTGCATCTGTAAAATAAATAAATGTAAAAAAAAAATTGTTAATAAAATAAATTTTAAAAAAATAAATATGTCTATCTCATACTAAGTGTATTGTTATATTAATATATACATATTAATATAAAAATACCCTTTTAATGTTCTACCTGTATTTTGATATTGTATGTATATATTTATATCAAAATACACTTAGAATGACATATGCGTATATTAGTGTTTCAAAACCGTAAAACATATCACAACAATGTTATTGTCTGTGAAAGTGCAGTTTTTTGCATTTTTCACACACAAACTGATGATATTGTTGTGATACGTTTTCCTGTTTGGAATACTAATATTTGTGTCCAGTGAAGTCTCCCGAGTATAACAGTACCCCTCATATACAGGTTTTATAGTGTCGTTTTTTTTTGTTTGTTTTTTTAAGTTACAGGGTCAAATATAAGGGTCGCATTTTTTTTACATTGAAAATTGCCAGGTTGGTTATGTTGCCTTTGAGAGTGTATGGTAGCCCAGGAATGATAATTACCCCCATGATGGCATACCATTTGCAAAAGAAGACAACCCAAGGTATTGCAAATGGGGGTATTGAAATATATTCAGTCTTTTTTAGTAGCCACTTAGTCACAAACACTGGCCAAAGTTAGCGTTCATAATAGTTTTTTGCATTTTTAACACACAAATAAATATAAATGCTAACTTTGGCCAGTGTTTGTGACTAAGTGGCTACTAAAAAAGACTGGGCATACCCCATATTGAATACCATGGGTTGTCTACTTAAAAAAATAAATAAAAAAAAAATATGTACATGTGAGGTGTGATTCAGAGATTTATGACAGATAACAGTGTTACAATGTCACTATTGATACATTTTAAAAATATATATTTTCAAACAGCAATTTCCTTCTTGTACTTGTAGCCCTATAACTTCCCAAAAAAAAGCATGTAAACACTGGTTGTTTTTTTTTTTTTTTTCGTTTTTTTTTAACTCGGGACACAATTTTGAATCTATTTAGCAGTCTTTATCATTAGCTTTTGTGGTTAAGTAAAGATTTTTCAAGTAAAAGTAAAAAAACATCATTTGTTTTTATTTTTAAAATTTTTCACCTTATTTTATTTTAATTTTTTTGTTTTGTTTTTTTTAAAGTAAATTGTAACTTGTATGGGAACAGTAAATGAGAGAGTGGAAAATTACAGCTAAACACAAACACCACAAAAGTGTTAAAACAGCTCTGGTCCTTAACGTAGAACATGGTCAAAACAGTCCGGTCCTGAAGGGGTTAAGCTAAAGTGTTCCTTTTATTGCTGTTGCAATTTCTCTTCATTTGTCTCTATAACATTAATGTTGTAGCTATAAAATTAACCCCCAAGAAAGCGAATAGAGCTGTACATCCCCCCCACCCCCACCAGATGCAGATGTTTCACTGTACCTTTCCCAGACACCTGTCAATTTTATTGCTTTGAAAACAAAAAAATGCTTAATTTTATTTTTTCCCCCAGTGAGTGAAATTACTTTTCTATAAGAACTGAGCATGCATTGTAATGGGCGTTAAAATGAATATACACGTTTTAATGTATTATTTCTTTACAGTAGAATGAGCGCTAAGTACAATTACTATAACTATTTCTGCCTTTTATTATTGTTATTGCATTATTCAGCTGTAGATTTATAGGAAAGAACCCTGTGCTTAGAGTAAAAACAAAACCTGAAATCTTTCTCCAGTTTTTATAAAGAAATACTTCAAAATGCAATGCTGCTTTTCAGCAGTAACTAATAAGCTGTTTGCATGCTGTATTCTATCCATTAGATGGCAGCATTGCGCTGAAACCATAGACATGGAATAAGACTTTTCCAAAGACCTTATGAAGAATGTTTGCAGGTGTTACCTGAACTTTGAGGAACAATCTAAAGTAGTGAAACTTGAGTACACGGATAGTGCTCAGGAGAAAGCACTTTAACGAGTTACTCTTCACCAGACAACTTTATTTAATCCAAACTTTGTCCTTCACTTGAGTAAGGACTTGGTTCAGAAACTCTGTTTGGATTTACTTAAAGTAGCCTTTAGTGCAATTATATGATTACATTTGACAATATCATTTTGTTTTGAATGATGCAGTTTAATATTCAATTCATTTAATAAATGTATAGTTAAAAAATTCTCTGGGGTTTATCAAAGTTTAAATCTATAGCCTAATCAACTAGGGTAAATCAAATAGCTACATTTGGGGACCCTAATTTCTGTGAAGCCCCAGGATATACATGTCCAGGCCTGCCCTAAATTTAGTGGGTGTCTCTGACCCGTCTTGAGATGTTCAATTTGTATTATTCTCCTATAATATAATACTTGCGTATAACATTTTTACAGTAGAGGATGGATATTGGCAGCCAAACTTGATTCGGCAGATAGATAAGGCATTGAGGCAAGAAGCTAATAGGCATTGAGACATAGAGTAAATGGACAGCTTGGATTATCGCACTCTTCATGATCACCTAGGGAAAATTACCCAGCATATGTGATGGTGGGCAAACTGGGTTGGATTGAAGGAGAGGTTTCTAAAAATGTTCTAAATTGCTGGCCATATGGAGGGCAGCTGTTAAGCTGTACATAGTAGAAATAAATAAATGTAGATAATGGAAAAGTTAAATAACTATAATATTTTGTGGTCCTCTAATCATTTAGAAAAATAAAGTTTCAAGCTTGTGTTTTTTCTTAATGATCTGTAAATTAAATTACAAACTAAACTGCTCAAAGTCATTTAATCACTTTGAATGATATAATGATTTTAAAGACTGTGAATAAGAAGTGAAAGAAATTTTGTTGGATATTACTTTGTGTTTATAACTACAGTTCATATTTGTACTGCATAGCATATATTAAATTACAGAAGGAAGTACTGAGATTTTTTTTTCTTCTTTTGTTCTCCCCAGGTGATGCCAGTGAGAGCCCTGAAGACATCTTTATCAGGAAAGCGAAAGAAGGTATGGATGGTGATGAGGCCCAGTTCAGTGTGGAGATCCCAGTCACAAGCAAAGCTTACCTATGGGCGGACAAATACAGGCCACGAAAACCTCGTTTCTTCAATCGTGTCCATACAGGCTTTGAGTGGAACAAATACAACCAAACCCATTATGACTTTGACAATCCACCCCCCAAAATTGTCCAGGGCTACAAATTCAACATATTTTATCCAGACTTGATTGACAAACGATCTACTCCGGAATATTTCTTGGAGGCTTGCCATGACAACAAGGACTTTGCTATATTACGTTTCCATGCTGGGCCTCCTTATGAAGACATTGCTTTCAAGATTGTCAATCGCGAGTGGGAGTATTCTCACCGACACGGCTTCCGTTGTCAGTTCTCTAATGGTATTTTCCAGCTGTGGTTCCACTTTAAGCGCTACAGATACAGAAGATGAGCCATGACCTGAAATAAGACCATTTCCTTCCTGTTTTTGTATAGCAACACAAATCAATTTTGGAGCTTTAGTGTTAAATAATAAATATGGAAACAAACCAAGACTTTTTAGAAATTCCAAGACCATAATAAATGATTTTGCCAAATATCCTTTGTGCCCTCACCCACCAGTGAGATTGTAATACTTTTGTACAAATAAAATTTTTTTCTTTATTGTTAGCCATGGGGTTAAATGGAAATTATCCAAACGCAACTTCTTGTAACCGTATTGGTACCCGAATTAGTCTCTATTGAGATATTGCCCAGAATCCTTAGCTCTATTGTTTACACTCAGCTCATGTGCACGTCCTACTCCATCACCTATTACACCGTTTTTATATCCAGATTTTGTTTGTTTTTCAATTACTGGCACATGCCCACTAACTGTTATTTAATTATAGAGCATCACAGGGGGGTGGGGGAATGGTTAACCTGAGTTATGTGATTTTTCAATATTTTATTGAATGGTATAATTTCTAGAGAAGTGGTAGTTAAATGTTAAAGAGAAGGAAATAAATTAGATTTAGCATAGTAAAAAAGATAATTTCGAAGGATGATGTCCAAACTTAAACAATTAACATTTAGCTCATGCCAGTGATTTGTGGAAGGAGAAGGAAAGGGGGGGACAAAATGAGAAAAGGGCTCACTGCAACGTGAAACAAGGATTTCTGGATCGTTCTTACAGACTTGTCCATTAGTAAACCTATTTCTGGGAAATGTTTAGCAAGCCATAGTTAAATTTTAGCCTCCTATACTTCCCTGGGACATATATTGTTACATCATGTTTGTTAATTGAACACTCAAAGCACCATAACCACTGCAGCTTTGGCACACCGCCCCCCATTAGGAGTTAAACCATTTGCAGATGGTTTCAACTTATCTGGGTGTCCGCTGACTTCTCCCTGAGTGCCAGAAGCTTTTTGTATTGAGATAATCCTGCCTGCAGGGCTTAACTCATTGTCTGAGTGTGATCCACTTACCAGTGCTTTCAACCAATGAGGTGGCTCTGTACAGCAGAATTGTGAGGGAGAGCTAATGGGAGGAAGTGGATGCCAGGTAAGTTGTCAAACCATTAGTAAACTGTTTAGGGCAGCAATGCCCAAAAAGTAGATCCAAAGTTAGAATTGCAACTCCCTTGATGCTTTGCATTTCTTTAGAAAGACAAAGCTTCATGGAAGCTGGCATTTTAAAACATCTAGGGATTTATTTGGGGCAGCCCTGGTACCATTACTGCTCCAGTCCGCTAGCCTGGAAGTAGTGCATAGGAAGGACAGGTAGAGGACCAAAACCGCAAACACTACAATGTACCTGGTGAGTACTATTGGAACAATAATTCCCAGTCCCTTGAGTAAATTAGTGGAAATGCAATTGCATTTTGTCGTCTGTTAAAAACTTCTCAATCCAGATATTAAATGAAGGTTCTCTGCTGTGGTAACAAAGTTCCATGGTAACTTACAAAAGACGTAATAACACACATACCATCACACTTTTAATGAGTGATTTGTCAGTGTAATTCTACATTATGAGAGTGTTTCTATAATCTCTTCTAATGATCTTCAAGCTAAAGTAATTGATCGAAAACTACAATTATTGGACCATGTGTGTTATCCTCCTAGAGCAGTGGTTCCCAAACTTTTTTTGCTTGAGTACGCCGTGTCGGCACATTTCTATAAATTGTACCTCTCAAATTAGCGACATGTTTATTACTCTAGTTGCTGTTATTTCAAATGTATACATGTTTCTCTGTCCTATCTCCCTCTGCTTCTCCTCTGTCCCAGGTCCCCTGCTTCTCCAGGCTTCCCCTGCTTCTCACAGTGCAGATACACACTGACACACATGCAGACACACAGATCGACACAATGACATACGTGCAGATACAAAGATAGAAACACTGACACAAAAATAAACACTGAAGCAGATGCCCAGATACACTGAAACACATACAGTTGTACGGACAGACAGATCCAAACCATTACACACTCACAAAGATACACACACACTAACAATGACACATGTAGATATACAGGCACACAGATACACTGACACACATGCAGATGCACAAACAAACACAAGGCCGGTTCAAGACTCTTTCGTGCCGTTGGCAAGACCAGCTACTTGTGCACCCCCACTTCAAATTAACAAAAATTGCCAACTTTGTGTGTCTTTCTTCTCCCAGCCACTTTGCGTGTCTTTTTTTTCCCCCTTCCTTAGCCCCTCTGTCTCTTCCACCAAGCCCCCTTTGTGTGTCTCTTTCTCTTCCCAGGCCCTCTGTGTGTCTCTTTATCCTCCCCAGCCCCTCTGTGTGTGGGTGTCTTTGTCCCTCCCAGCCCCTCTGCGTGTCTTTGTCCTCCCCAGCCACCATCTGTGTCTCTTTCTACTCCCTAGCTCTTCTGTGTCTCTTTGTCCCCATTGCACCTCCCTATCACCCAACCCCTTTGTGGGTCTCTCTCTCCCCCCACACCCTTTATGTTTCTCTCTTCACCCCTAGCCCTTCTGTGTGTCTCATTGTCGTCGTCTCCTCCCCCTGCAATTCCTCTGTCTCCATTTGTCCCCCAACCCAGAGCTCTGTGTGCCTCTCTATGTGTCTCATTAACCCCCGGGTCCTCCATGTGCCCAATTAACCATTCCCCAGCCCCTCCATGTGCCCAATTAACCATTCCCCAGCCCCTCCATGTGTCATTAAACCCCCCAGCCCTTCCATGTGTCTCTATAACACCAAGTCCCTCCATGTGTTTCATTGACTTCCCCAAGCCCATCAATGTGTCTCAGTAATCCTCCCCAGCCTCTCCATGAGTCTCAGTAAACCCCCAAGCGCCTCCATGTGTCTCAGTAACTCCCCCATCCCCTCCATGTGTCTCAGTAACTCCCTATTGGCAAACTGTTCCAAAATGATTCTTTCTTTTGACATTGTACAGTATTTGTACAGAATTGTATAAATGTCACATTTGACAAGCTCTGGAGCCTTTGAACCAAATACATTTCTTTGAGAAATTGTGATGAATCGAGGGCTCAACATAGACTGTCGCCATAACCTGTTTCACAAAAGAAGTTGTTAATAAACACAGCCAGAGTTATGTTAATTCTGAACTTCTTGTACCTTATTTAGGATTCGCTTTTGCCAACATCAGCCACTAAACTATTCAATAAACATTGACTCCAGCACAATACAGAGCTGAAAACATTTGCAGTTCTCCAGCACATATTTGCAGGATGAGTTTTAGCAACGAGACCCGAGCCAAATATTAATTTACTTGGGAACTGTTTGCATTAGACCAACAAAAAATGATTGCTACTCTAAAGTGCCAAATGCAGATCTCTGCCCATGAGAGTTTAAACTACTTTGTCTTTTACTACATCAGACTTGATGTGATTCTTGACCTTATTTGACATTATCTTATGTCAGATAATTATATTAATGGAGAACTATTATCTTTAGTAATATAAAATGATTCCTTACTGTTAGAAAATAAATGACTTATCAAAAAAAAATTCCATAGAATTTTACAGGGACTTCTGTAGATAAATCTTTTGGAAAGAATCCACAAATTCTATGTAGAAATTCAAACCACTGTATTTACCTCCATCCCTGGACCTGAGTGCCTGCCTCTATCTTGTCTCACTGTGAAATCATTTCTGAGTTTGTCTGCAGTGGCCACTAAAATTCTCTGGGAAAAGAAATAGAGCAAGAGTATTTTTGAATGGTAGAAAGGGAACTTGAGCTACGTCAAGGGGCATTGAAAAACAGAGGAAGAAACTCCTTCACCATTACTTCAAAATCTTCTTGAAAATGGAAGGCAACATTGATGGTTATTTGAAAGATTTTGAGAGGCAGAGCATCCTCCCAGGGGTGAGAAAAGGACTGGGTACTGGGGACTAGCTGATGGGGAAGAGGCTCAAAAGCTTACAGGGTAATGCCAGACAAGTGTATCGTGGACTATTCTGCAGCAAAGGAATATTTATTAGACCGGTATGCTATGACACCTGAGGCTTACTGACAGAGATTTAATGACCTGCAGAAAAGGGAACAGGACTCCACTCAGAATGGATTTAGTGGTCAAACTGGTGGAAAGTGTGCCAGGTTACCATAGTGGAAGAGGTATTACAAGTAATACTTATGGTACAGTTTTATGTACATTTTCCTCCTAAAATGTCCCCTCATGGGAGAAGAAGCTGCTTAGTGCGCAAGTATGTGGACACTAGGAAAGGTACACACTGTGACGGACCGCTGGCACTCCGACTGAGTACCTCCGCCAATCGATGCTCCTAGTGCTCGCTGAGGACTCCAAGCACTCTAACCAACACCATCAGCACTGCAGTCCCCACTCCCAGCGATGCACCTGCGCCGGGGTCTCGCTGTCTCCACCCACCCTAGACCCAAGGCCAGGATCCCGCTTCCAGTGGGTTAACCTCTCTTTCCCCAGAGGGCAGGAACAAGCTCTTAGCAGAGCTTAGTGAATATACCCTGGGGAGTATAGTGAATATAGCAATCCCCAGAGTGTGGTTTTCCAATCCCCCAAACATGAGCCAGGGCTTAATGCTGGAACAAGACTTTACTGGAAGTAACACCAACAGGTATTCAAGCTACAGTTTCTTTTATGCAGGGGAGGGACACACACGTTATCTACAGTAGCCAATAAAACAGAGGTTACAGCCTACACAAAATCCTCCCCTCTGCCTGTGATTCAATTAGCTTATACAATAGAAGATGCAATTATCACAAGCAGGAAAAATACAGTTTTTACAGCATATTCATAACTTCTAAAATATACATCACATTCACATAAAAATTATATATTCACAATCAATCCATTCAGGGAAACAACATATCAAAAAATGGCATGAATCAGACCAGGGGTTCAGAAGTTAGTAAAGTATCTTTTGGGGCCTGGCTGGCAGCATGGCTATCTGGCCCAAACTGGTTTTACAGAGCCCTCTATCCTGGAGACAATGGGGAAAATAATCCAATTATCCAGGGATAGAGGCAGACTCCATTGAGCACATGTTCCCAGTAAAACACAAAAGGATACAAAAATACATAACTCCTATCATACTGAATTGAACGGGCCAAATCTCCCAGGGTCCATAGTCACAGGGCAAGAGGCGGGCAAGCGGTCCTCTCCAGGCACAAGTGGCGAAGGGCACTTCGTCACAGTAATAAATCCATGAATAAAGTAGCAGGGAGGGAAAGTATCGAAGGAATGGAGGGGGATTCTTCACACACACCCTGTACAGCCATTGCCCTGACTACAAGATTAGACACCTCTACCAACCATGATCCCATTGGGTCCCAACCTACACCAACCTTTCAGGGCAGGTTCCTGTCAGCTCTAGGGAAAAGTGCATTACTCACATGCAAAACTTGTAATTAACCAGAACACATTCAGACTAACTGCCCATGCTATAACTCTCGTAGTCCCTGTGGCTCAAGGAATACCCTCAACAGGCCTTCAAAGTCTGCCCCGTCAGGTCAAATAGTAGGAATATGCTGTTACTCCTGTCAGCAGGGTGGGCTCATTAGGAGCACGGAATATTGGTCGGGTAGCAAGGGGGAGCACCTATTGCATAGAAGGTCCACAGCTAGATCAGATTACAAATCAGAGTCCAAGTCCATGTATGAACTCTCAAGTGTTGCCACCTACTGAAGAGGTGGTTTGGTCAACTGTACATTCCCATGAATCTTGTACAAGCGCCAGAGAGGCTACTATATTCATGCCTCGGACGGGGGTGGCTCTTTTTATCAGCTGATACTTTAAGCCAATCAGTAGTTCCCTTCACAAAATGGCTTAAATTCAACATTAATAGTTGAAGCCTTCATGGTAGGGACCTTCTGGCACCATAACGTATTACAGTGAAGTTGTTATTGTGCCCAGATGTTCCCTTTAAGTAAAGGGAACTAACTATTTTAAGTATTAAGAAAGGCTGGAGAGATTGGAGAAGTTTATACGAGACAATACAATTCCTTAGGTGGATGTGATTAATTATACAAATATATACAATGTCAACACAATCGTCTTTTGACATGTTCATTAACACGACAAGAGAAAACACGGTCACCCATTGTAATATTACCATGTTGATCTAGGGGAAAAAAGAACGACATTGAGGTGTTTTCCCTTATTTTTGGGGGGAGTGTGGAATGTTGAACTAGATGTACGTCTGACACATTTTTCTTTATATTTTTTCAATAATTACTGTGTTTTGTCTGCTATAGACATGAGAGACCTAAGTAAAAAAAATCCTGAAAATAAAACATTTAGTGTAGAAACACAAATTATATGACAAGCAGTTATTATCTGATGGAACAATCTTTGATTATCTATGCTTTTAGTCTGGTTTCATGGAGACAATGGAATTGTTCCCGCTAGTAAATTTGTTATGATCCTTCTACTGTAATGTCCGCCTTGTTTTTAATTCTAATTTATTGCTAAAAAAAAGTGAATTAGGCTATCGAATGTTAATCTGTTTCCTGAAATCAGTCACTGATTAGTGATGCATAATGTCAGTGCTCTGATAGAATAATAATGCTGAAATTAATGATTGGTTGTAATTGCTTCAGTACTCTCCATTGCCACTACTGTAGGGTTATATGGTATTGGGATAATGGTTGGTGTACATACTTGAAACCCACTATTTTAGTTTGAGAAAGAGAACATTAATACATTGCTTAGTTTTTATCCCATAGACTCAGGGCTATTCCCAAAGAGTTCCAGATGGGCATTTGGATGGAGATAGCATTTTAAAGTCTTCTACCCACCCCGCTAGGGCAAATTTATTTATAGGTATTTTATTATATCAGTCTAATGTATGTATTTTACATTAGAGCAACTTGATCAGGGGTGCCCGAAAGGTAGATCCCCAGATGTTGTAGATCTACAACTCCTAAGATGATTTGCATGCCTTTAGTATGACAAAGCATCATGGGAGTTGTAGTTTTAAAACACTTGGGGATGAACCTTATGGGCACCCCTGAACAAGATCTCTGTCTAGGCTGATAGGTGATAACTAAAAAAAAGATTTGCTTGTAGCCTACGGT